GACATCTACTACGTAAACCCACGCACCACCTTGAGATATGAGTTCCAAAGTCTCAGTATAGTTACAACGACTGCCCCCATCGTTCAAACCGAAACGCATTACTGCTTCACGGCAGAAATAGACAGGGCGGTGGTACCTACCCGTGGGGACTCACAAGAGGACCTACCACCAGTACGGCTTGTATTTAAAAACTAAAAACAGCACATTGCTGTGACCACAGCTAAGTATAGGAGACACCCCTATTTGTCGCAACGACCCACATGCTATCTATATTATAGCAATGATGCTAAAAGAGATAGCTTCCCTAAAGTACCAACAATAACTTTACAAAGTTTGAACTCAATCAGAAAAACCCCTTACTGTGCGAACGAACAGACCGATTTAATGTGAATCTTCAAATCGATAAAGCAACGATAGGGTTCTCAATTTTTGTGTGTGGGTTTTTTGTTGAGATTCATCTTTTTCAACAATATTAACCCTTTGTACACGAGTGGGGAGTATTATTATTATTGCTTAGGCGTGTGGACGAGCTCACGGCCCACCTGATGTTAAATGGTTACCGGAGCCTATACACATCTACAACGTAATGTGATTAGTTCTAAGGTCTCAGTATAGTTACAACGGCTGCCCCACCCCTGCGTTCAAACAGAAACGCATTACTGCTGTCGCATTTTTTATTTATTGCTTAGATAGATGGATGAGCTCACGGCCCACCTAGTTTTTAGTGGTTACCGGAGCTTATAGACATCTACAATGTAAATGCCGCCACTCACATTGAGACACGAGTTCTAAGGTCTCAGTTTTAATAGACAAAGGCTGCCCCGCCCTTCAAACCGAAACGCATTACAACTTCACGGCAGAAATAGGCAGGGTGTTGGTACCTACCCGTGCGGACTCACAAGAGATTCTACCACCAGTAATTACGCAAATTATAATTTTACGGGTTTGATTTTTATTACACGATGTTATTCCTTCACCGTGGAAGTCAATCTAGAACATTTGTTAAGTACGTATTTCATTAGGAAAATTAGTAGTTGCCAGCGGGATTCGAATACCGTTGCATCGCTAGATACGAATGCACCGGACGTCTTATCCTTTAGGCCACGACGACTTCAAAAATATCGGTATCACATCAAATCATGTTGTATCCTCCCATGATTTATTTACAAACGACAAAAAGAAGGAAAAACATAAACAATATGCCAATCATCAAATAAGTAACATAACAGTTTAAACAGCGCATCGAATTTCCGTACCAAACAAAGTGTTGAACTAGAATCATCTCTCGAATACAAATGGTTAAATTTGGAAATTGTTTAAAAAATGTAGAATTTGTTCGATCGTCCGTGTTGTTTAATTGAAAAGTTTTCGGTGTCGCAGTAACACAAGGTACCGTAGCTAGCCGCTGTCGATTTGTTTTCGCAGGAATACTCAGTGTAGGTAACATACACAATGTGATACAATTGGAGGACAGCGACCTTGCGTACTCGAGTTTGTTGGTATAGTCTAATACTTGGAAATTTGTAGAGTTGGTACAACATAATATTTTATTCTTAACGTATAATATACAAAGAGGTATTCGATTATTATCGTTTGTAGGGTCACACACACATGCTTAATAACGTACGTGCCGTGTTACCTGGCTACGTAATGCAAGGTGTCATCTTCACCATTCCACGCTTGTGGAAAAAGGATATTGGGACGACAGTCCAGTTGTAACGGTCATACAGTGAACACAGTTCCACTTAGATAGCTATAATAAAACTGTATGTACCTATTGTATTTTCAGTAAATATACAAGTGTGTGAGTTAATAACGACTTTCATTTACAACAACTGGGCTCATCCTAAATTCTTGATTCCAATCTTCGGTTGGTGTTTGGAGGAAACGACAAAGAGAAAATCTTACACCGAGCTGGCGAAATCGCTCAGTAGACCGACTGACCAATTGATGTTCGGAAATTGTATAGGTACATACTATAGGCAAGCTCATCTTCAAAATGTCGTAAAACTCATGACTCAATATGGGTGGCGGCATTTACATTATTGATGTCTATGGGCTCTCTAGTAAGCCCTTGAAACCAGGTAGGCCGTGAGCTCACCCCACCCATTTAAGCAATAAAGAAGATTATAGAGCATTTCTCTTCATCGATTTCTGCTCTGGCCCGACGGTGACCTCTGCTATCTTTAGATTGGGAAGTTGTGTTGGTTCGTCCTTGATTTTTCCAGTCCTGATGACAGAATTGAGGCTGTCGGTTTTTCTACATGCTTCGAAAAGCTACACATACATTATAGTTATATATTTAGAAAGACTATATTTATAAAGCATTCATGTGAAATACGTAAATTGTTACTAAATTTTGAAATGATTATTATTATGATCGAACTTACACCTGCGGACGGACACTGGTCAAAAACATAAATGTGTATAATTTTTTTGTTTTTTTGTTTGAAGGATTATTGCTGGCCCGGAGGCCTTTCTAGTTTCACCATGACAGGTGGGCCACCAATCCTCCCCAGGAGGGATGGGATTTGCTGTGTATCATCTCTATGTAGATAGTATTAAGTGTATCCAAGCACAGTATACAGTTTCGGTGGCAACGGTCCAGTGTAATCGTCGGCGGACCATCTGGCGTGTCACGTGAATGTGATAACGCCGGATATTGTGCCAGTTAGCCTTCCGACTTTGAGATGCGCCCGTCGATGTCAATATGTTTAAGTCCACTACGAAAATTTGATTAATTTTTTAAAACGTCGTTTAAGGCTTGCTTTTATAAAGGTTTCGCAGTTTTAATTTTGCAACATGCCTTTTTAAGTAATAGCTTTTCATTGCAGACTGTGCTTTGACCACGGAAAGAGACCATCGCTTTTCGCAAGATTATTTTCTTAAATCACATATGTATACATTCCTTTATTAAAAGGGTGCTCTTTCCAGAGCCAGATAGTTCATGGTAAAAGTGACATCAGAGGAACGTTAGGTGGATAAGGGCTTTCCAGACCACCGCGATGAACTCTTCTGTGCGTAAAAACAGATGCAAGAGAGACAAGTCTTTTAAAATAAAAAGTCTCAAAAGTTAGTCATGCTCTCGTCATAAATTTAGAAGATATTAATTGGAATCACCGAACACACCACTAAAAGAAACGAATGAAAAAATGTAATTTAAGTAATAACCGCTGAAGTTAAAAAGAACATATTTTTAAAAAAAGTGACTTTCTCGTTAGTCGCTGTAAATAATTAAATTCGATTTTAACGCAACAGTTTCAGAGTCAGGCGTATTAAAACACTTTCGACAAAATACTTAAAACAAGATGAAATATTAAATTTCGATGCTTTTTTATCACTTGTATTTATATCGAAGACCGTTTAGGCAGTTCCAAGTGGCTTTAAAATTAACAGCGAATCTACTATTTACTATTACTACAGCTAATCTTTTTAGCATTTACTACTTACTACTTACATAGTGACTATTTGGTATAACCAAGTTCACAGTTGCTCGGACTAAGATAAACTTGAGTGTAGCCGGTTCGTCGTAATGTATAAGATTTCGATCGCACGTTTGATCACAAAGCAGGTAGCTACATGATGCGTTTGCATTGTCGCATCGCAGTAAGTACAGAAATATATTAACCAAAGCGACGGCGCTTGTAAAAAAATTACGTAAATGGGTGGACGAGCTCATCCGTGTAAGTAATTACCGGGGCCCATAGGCATAGGCAACATAAATGCCGACACCCACTTTGAGACATGAGTTCAAAAGTTTTATAGTACCACGACTGCCCCACCCTTCAAACCTTACTGGTGGTAGGACCTCTTGTGAGTCCGCACGGGTGGTACCACCACCCTGCCTATTTCTGCCGTAAAGCAGTATTGCGTTTCGGTTTGAAGGGCGGGGCATCCGTTGTAACTATACATGAAACCTTAGAACTTATATCTCAATGTGGGTGGCGCATTTACGTTGTAGATGTCTATGGGCTTCAGTTCCCACTTAACACCAGGTGGGCTGTGAGCTCGCCCACCCACGTAAGCAATAAAAAAACACCGAAACGCATGCTTCGTGTCAGAAATAGGTCGCGTGGTGGTACCTATCCGTGCGGGCTCACAAGACGACCTACCACCAGTACACCTCTAGTAAATACTGGTACTTGTTTGTGGCTAAGAGACTTGATAAGCCGATAGAGAAATCCCTTCTTAAAACGATAAATTAAGTAACTATTCATACGAAAATACTAAACGAAAGTTTGATAAATTAACTTTTATTAAAAAATATGATTGTCAATAAATTTCATCAAAATTCATAAATCACATGGCGGCACCCGAAGCCTGCTGGCTCCATTTCTTTCGAACTGTCGCAAAGGAACTTGATAAAATATTGTTAGATCAATAGAACGTTTATTTCTTAGATTTTATTACAAATTCGTAGACCGAAAATCATTTCGTACCGATTGGCTGTTTTGGCGCTCTAAAAAGAAATGTTAAGAATTAAGATGTGAAAAGAAAAAAAAAAGCAATTACACAAAAACATGACTTTTTCATCGCGACTTTATGTATATTTTCAACACATTTAAACACAAGTTTTTTATAACTAAAAACGATGTCTAAGGGATTCGCCGGAAAATAGGCAGCAGCATCCTCTGAATATTATCCCAACAGGCAGAAATCGCCTACTGGTGTTTACTATTGGTAGGGCGATTTGTAGGCCCGCACGGGGAAATACAATAAACATGTCTATTTATGCTGTGGAGCAGTCATGCGTTCGAAACTAAAGGTGGGACAGCCGCTATAAAATCCATTTCAAACTTCAACCTTATGTCTCAGGGCGGAAGGCAGCTTTTACGTTGTGATCTCTACAGGTTCCGGTAACAACTCAACACACCAGGTGGGATGTGAGCTCATTCGCCCATATATTCACTAATGAAATACAAAATGTAAAACACAAAATCCCGTGAACTTACAATACATCAAATGGATTGGATATTGAAACGAATTGTTACTTTGCTATTCTAAGTTAAAATCATAAAATCGGCATATCCTAAAAGAAATCGTGAAAAATTAATAAATACCCACACGACTGATTTATAAGCTTCTCTTATAGATTTCATTTTATGTTCAGATCCTTTAGGATATTTGTAGAAAGTGGGCAAGTAACTGGCATACTTCAACGTATACAAGTGCTGTTCAATGTATGCTTTGAAGTCCTTCGGTTCAGGCAAAGCTGTAGCTAAACCTGTAATATACACATCGTAATAAAGCCGTCTCAATAATAATAATAATAACAATGAGAATCACATGCGATATCAGTCATGATACATTTTATTTTAACTCTTTCAGTTCATAGGTGAAATGTATTTTTATTTATTTTTTATTGCTTAAATGGGTGGACGAGTTCACAGCACACCTGGTGTTAAGTGGTTGCTGGAGCCCATAGACATCTACAACGTAAATACCACCACACACCTTGAGATATGAGTTCTGAGGTATCAGTATCGTCACAACGGCTGCCCCACCCTTCAAACCGAAACGCATTACTGCTTCACGGCAGAAATAGGCAGGGTGGTGGTATCTACTCGTGCGGACTCACAAGAGGTCCTACCACCATTAATTACGCAAATTATAATTTTGCGGGTTTGATTTTTATTACACGATGTTATTCCTTCACCGTGGAAGTTAAACGTGAATATTTGTTAAGTACGTATTTCATTAGAAAAATTGGTACCCGCCTGCGGGATTCGAACATCGTTGCATCGAATGCACCGGACGTTTTATCCTTTAGGCCACCACGACTTCAATGAAACGTTTTGTAACATCAGTTAAACAATGAATTTTTAATAATAAAAAAGAAAATGATTAAAATACAATATAAACTTGCCTGTGCTGTATGTAAATTTTGCAAGTTCAACGGCAATACTAATCGAAACAGCTTTAATATCTTTTAAAGGTGGATAAATGCGTCCCATTTCCAAGTCTTTCTCGCTTACTGATTCTGCCAACGCCTAAAGTTTGAAGTTTCTAGATTATTCTACGATATTTATAAATTGTATACTTGAACACTTTTTCTACTAAAATTTCTTGTCTCCATATATTTTTTCTACCAAATGGTGGCCTTGGATACCTTTGCAATTAAATACAAGATGTATATTTCTTATCTAGGGTTAACACGTTAAAACGAAAATTATGAAAGAAAAAATTATTAAGCTTCGAATGTCATTTTAGTTAAAATTTGTAAATATGTTTGGTGGAAATGGTGTTAATTCTGAATCGATATTTCCAGCCTATTAAAAACATTGTTTGTAGAACCGGAATAACTGAAAACCGAGTTCTGAAGAACGATTTGTTTAGCCCGCTCTAAGAATGTTCAACGTAACCTAGCAAATTTAAGTTATTATGTGTTTAGAGCAAACTACTTAGTCTGGCCATAAATACTGTTACAATAAAAAAAAATCTATTGCATAGACATCTGCAACGTAAATGCGCCACCCACCTCGAGATATAAGTTCTAAGGTAGTCTGGCCATAAATACTGTTACAATTAAAAATAAAAAAAAATCTATTGCAAATAACATTTATTACTTTTACAGTGTGTTAGTTTAATACATAAATATAAAACAATTTAAAGTATAAAAAGCTTATTCGAAGCGATCTCCATTGGCTGCAATACAGTCCTTTAAACATTGAGGCCAGTTATCAATAGAAGCACGCACTCTTTCCATGGGAAAATTTTTCATTGCATTTGTATTGCAGCCAGTGGAGACCACTTCGAATAAGCTTTCTAAACTTTAAATTGTTTTATATTTATGTATTAAACTAACACATTGTAAAAATAAGAAATGTTATTTGCAATAGAATTTTTTTTTCCTTTGTCTCACTCAGTATTTTATGGCAAGACTAGGTATATTGAAATCTATTAATTGAAAAAGTATATCAGGCAAATTTATTTCATCCTCAGCTACAATTTTTAATTAATATTTAAAAGATACATTACCCGTGCAGCTTTCAAGAAAAGCAAATCCGGTATCGTATGAGCACCACTAGTTATGACGCCAAGTGCAATTCCTGGGAATATATACGCGTTGTTACCCTGTCCGGTTGTATATTCTTTACCGTTATATTTGACGATGGGGAAAGGAGAACCTGACGCGAATACACAACGTCCCTAAAGATAGAAAATCTGCTGTATTTTGGAAATTTATTCCTTAAGAATGAATTTAAATTAAAAATTATTTTACGTCAATTTGCATGGGTACTAAAATCTAGGGTTCCCCAAAAGGTGTCATATCATTCTATTCAAGTATTAATAGACAACATCACAAGAAACTTTAACAAAAATTTATAATGTATTCAATTGGCACGCTTCCCCTGGTGTCCAGTTTAGTAAAATATAAACTTGACATTACGATTTAGTATTATTATTATATTATAATACAATGGCTAAATGATTATTAGCATAGTGTTAAAAGTTTCGTTATATTCTTTCAGGTTAAGAGGCGACATTTTACCACCGCCCCGCCTATTTCTGCCGTGAAGCAGTAATGCGTTTCGGTTTGAAGGGTGGGGCAGCCGTTGTGACAATACTGTGACCTTAGAACTATATCTCAAGGTGTGTGGCGCATTTACGTTGTAGATGTCTATGGGCTCCAGTAACCCCTTAACACCAGGTGGGCTGTGAGCTCGTCCACACACCTAAGCAATAAAAAAATATAAAAAAACCGAACCCCCACGAAAGGGCGGGTGCACTATCGATTATTATTTGCTAAATTAGAAAAATATGTAGTTAACATTATATTAGAATAACTTACTTCCGTATTATCGTAGGCTGCTTGTGCAGTACATTCGGCTTTACTCGTAGGGTTAGACAGAGCAAATATGATTGGTCTCTCGCTATTACTTGCCATTCGCTTCAAAACTGCCGGTGTAAAAGCACCACCCACTGTTGAAGTTCCTATATTGGATTGAGGTGATCACAGTAAAAAAATTCAAATATTTCAATTGATACAAAGGCATAAAATACACTAAAAGTTAGGTTTCTTTCATTTAATCATGGTGCCAACGTAGGCAAATAGTTTTTTTCTTTTTAAAAGCTGACCAGCATGCGGTTTGCCTGTTAACTTGTCATCTTTTTTTTTCTCTACCTAAGCTGATAGCCTTGAGAGGCTATTTCAGCGTAACCTTAACTAGTAGGTGAGCTCACGGGGCTCAAACCTGATGACGTTGCTAACACGAACCCTAGCAAGAGCCGTGCTTCGCAGAATCTACCACCGGATCGGAAACGCGACCCACTGAGAAGATCCGGCGAGAAACTCAGTGGGCTGTGTCTGTGGGTTAATTTACTCGTCGAGCCCTTCGTTGCAAGCGATGGGTTCGACTAGAACGATGACCGGTGCTTGAGGTACCTAAAAGCACCGTTAGTGGATCGGATGGCGTGTTTTGTGACTTCGACTGCTTTCCATTCTGTCCGCAGGATCGGGAATGACTTGTCATCATTGATTGTCATTTTGATTATAACAATACTAGAGGAAATCCAAATGCAAATCCAAGTGAATGCAGAACTGCATTCACTGGAAACAAGGCATTTGAACGCAGCTCCAGCTAGTACTGATGAACCTTGCTTCGATGGCAGGTGCAGCAATGATGTGCAATCGACTTTTAAAGTATGTACTATATATCTATAATGTAACTATTTACCAAACCAAAAACCAAACGACTCAGAACCAAGCCGGTTCGTAGGGTTTCGATCGCACATTTGATCAGAATGTGCATAGCTACATGATGTGGTTGAGAACCTGTTTGTGAGCAATATACATACAGAAATATATTATGGAAATCGGCTCTTGGTAGCCTACCGTAGGTATAACAAATAATTAACCTTGAATATTCACAATTAGTGAAGAAAACGAAAGGACAAATTAAGACATTGTGACTATCAGTATAATATAACAACCTACCAACAATACAAGTTGCTTTGATATTCTTAATGACTTGTTCCAGATTCCTCTCCGGCTTAACATCCTTTCCGAATGCCTTCGCATAATCAGGTACACCTTCAGGTCGGCTTTTGGACAATAAGCCATTGATATCGAACATAAATATTTTAGATAATGCCTCCTTCTTTGATAAGCCTTCTTCTACCATTGCTTGGACAGTCAAAGTAGCAATTCCCGTAGCTGCCTACATTAAATAAATGATCAGGTACAAATCACACAGAACCGAATGAAATGCTAAATGAAACTTCAATTAATTAAGTTACACATTTCATTCCTCTGATGTAAAATTGGCAAACTCATTATTTTTTTAATTGCCCTTGTAGGCAGACGAGCAGATGATGACTGGTTACCGTCGCCCATGGACTTCAGCAATGCCAGGGGCAAAATCAAGCCGCTGCCTACCGTTAAACTTATCGGACATTGCGTTGTCTTCGTGAAATTAATAAAATCAAAGAACAATTAATGATAGAGTCGCTGTTTTATCATTTGAAAATACCGCATAATAAATTATTAAGTACCATATTACTGTTTTATAATAATTACAAGTTCATAGAATTGCATATCATAAAGTCGCACACATTAAAAACACTTACAGAACCGGCACCGAAAAACAAATATGTGTTTTCTTTGAGTTTCCGCTTCGTGATTCTAGTGGCCGCCATCATACCGGCCACAGCAACACCGGCGGTTCCTTGAACATCATCATTGAACGTGCAGTAATGTTCTCTGTACTTGTTCAAAAGACGACCGGCGTTTGGTAACGCAAAGTCTTCAAACTAAAACGAAAATTCTAAATTCTAGAAATTTTAACCATCAACTTAGTAAAAAACGAATTTTTGTTTTGTTGCTTTGGTCCTCTCAATGGTATCTTGAGACATGAAGACTGAATTTCTAATTTATGTTTTAATTTAAAATGCTATTGTATGTTATTGTTACGCCGGTAAGAGCAACGCCATCTGTCGTCAAATAGCAGAAACGAATATCAAAAGAACTAGTAAACTCTAGAACGCTCGAGAAGTCCAACGCCATCTATTGTCAAATGTCATAAACGCATATCGATAATACTCGACTTGTGAGAAATATTCTCGATAATTCTAGGGATGTCGTATCGACTATAAAAGCGTTGCAGGGACGTCGCGAAAGGAGTTAGTAATCGAATCAAAACAGTGAACGGATCACCTGAAGCGAAGCGGAAGAAGTGAACTACGAGTTGTAAACTGTTCTATGAGTGTTCTAAATGTTTAATACAGTTATAATTTATACTTAACTAGAATTTTTATTTATCCCGAACTCCAGCGCGTAACAATATGTTACTAACATACCTGCAACAGAACCTCTGTTCCAAATCGATTAATACAAGCCGCCATAAATTCATCAATGAATTCGTCGTATGCGGGTCCTCGCACTCGTTTCTGTCGTAGTCCAATATAAATAGGATCCTCTAATAATGTCTGTAATATTTTTATTATTATTTTCTTACTATAATCCAACAAGTTCCCTAACATTTTAGGAGAAATAGTTTACAATTGTAAAACCATAACATAGTTTTTGTATCGTCTTCAGTCTTAAAACTGAAACAGAAATTTTCTTGTTTTTTTTTTTTTTTTATTTCTTAGCGTGGACGAGCTCACAGCCCACCTGGTGTTAAGTGGTTACTGGAGCCCATAGACGTCTACAACGTAAATGCGCCACCCACCTTGAGATATAAGTTCTAAGGTCTCAATTATAGTTACAACGGCTGCCCTACCCTTCAAACCGAAACGCATTACTGCTTCACGGCAGAAATAGGCAGGGTGGTGGTACCTACCCGTGCGGACTCACAAGAGGTCCTACCACCAGTAATTACGCAAATTATAATTTTGCGGGTTTCATTTTTATTACACGATGTTATTCCTTCACCATGGAAATCAATCGTGAACATTTGTTGAGTACGTATTTCATTAGAAAAATTGGTACCCGCCTGCGGGATTCGAACACCGGCGCATCGCTCAACACGAATGCACCGGACGTCTTATCCGTTAGGCCACGACGACTTCACTTTATGATGACATGCAGTAAAAATACGTACACACCTCATTTTCAGTTCCCACGTCTAATGTAATAGGCAAGCATTGATGTGGTTTTATTCCAGCCAGCGCCGTGTAAAGGGCCAGTTTGCCAACAGGTATGCCCATACCATAAGCGCCCAGGTCACCCAAACCTAATATTCTCTCGCCGTCTGTAAAAACTATTGCGCGGACAGCATGCTCCGGCCTACAAAGGAATCCATTTGATATATTAAGTAGCCTACAATACACGTAGTATTTGGAAGTAAAGTCATTGTTCAAATTCAACACACTCTAAGCGCATTGTATCCGCAGAAATTCTCAATCATCATTTCATAACTTGCAGCTTGATTTAATCTAATTTCTTTGAAACTGTATCACTATTTCTTTCAGATTATTCGATGACATCTGCCTAATTACACAACAACAACTTTTTGTTTACTACAACAACAACTATTACTACTATTTGTTTTTGGTATATGGTAAGGCACATAGGCTTCGTTAAAGAATAGATTTTCCGAATTTTCAGTTCAATATCTAAATATAAGGTAAACCTTTAGAATATCTTTCCAAGAACACAAGACAAATATATAGAGATTCGGTAGTCGCGAAAAAAAAACCTTACCAGTTCTTCAAAATATCAAATATGTGTCCTTTATCATGAATAGTGATATATAATCCTCTCGGTCGCCTGTAAACGAGACCAAATTTCTGGCACGCCAATCCAACCGTGGGCGTGTACACAATAGGCATGAATTTTTCTATGTCACAATCAAGTAAACTGAAAAATAGTTTTTCATTCCTATCCTGAAAATCGGACATATCGATTTATCTAATAATAAAAAATAATAAAATGCGTTGGTCCGTTCGTCTTCTACAGATGATTCGTTCGATCGTAACGAATGCTTGCTTTTGTACGCATTTAAATGAATAGTCTGATAAAATAAATACCATCAGAGTATCATCAGTTCCTCAACCTCATCAAGTGATCGTATGTTGAAAGATGAAACGTATAGTATTTTCTGCGGCTTCCGCGAGTCGCAAACATAATCAAAACTATATTTACGCTAATCTTAAACTCGAGAACAAGCCGTAAATGTAATTATAATTAACCTAACCACTGTTTCCTTCTCTGTTTATTAACAGCCAAGCCAAGCACTGCTCTTGCTGGAGCAGATATTAGCAAACTCTCTTTGGGTGAGCCCCGTGAGCTCGCCTAGCGGTTTGATGGCTGAATTAGCCCTAAAGGCTACCGGCGATTTAGTTGGAAAAGAAATGATGGGCTCACAAACCGCCCTGTCAATCCCTGTAATCACGCATTTTTAATAAAAAGGTAATAGGTCTTTCCTTACCATGCATAAGCAGCACCTTACCTATAGATGCTTCTTTACGACACTTTGTAGGTATACACTTACAATAACCTACTTTTTGTCGCGTTTTAAATTTCAAATAACAAAATTATATTATCCGATATAGTAAGAAGATACTTATAATGTAAACGGACTTCAATGCTCATTGCGATATAGCATCAGCCAGAAAATGGAAAAAAATTAAAGTAAAACTACTTACTTGCAACTCAGTCAAATAAAGGTATCTATTCAAATCGTCGTCATATCTATCGAATGAAATTTGGCAGAACTCCAACTGTTCTTCCTGGGTTTTAAATTTGGGTGCCAAAAGTCCGTGAATACCTAAAGCTTGGCGCTCTTCGAGCGTGAAGGCTAGGCCCTGCGAAATTTGTTGTTTTGTTTCAATTATAACTGACTGATTTACACTTGAATTTGTTTAGATTTGATGACACATTCATGGATAAATTGTCAAATTATAAGTTTCAGATACATTATTAAGATTAGAAGTCGTCGTGGCCCTTGATAAGACGTCCGGTGTAGCTAGAATCTATGCAAGGTAAAGTAAAAAGATTCAGATACCTACCTTAAGGCCCTGAAGCTACTGTCCTTAGACCTGTACCTGTCTTTAGTACTGCATCACCTTTATTTATTATAGACTGAGCTATTTATTTTGTTTTATTATTATTGTAAATGGAGAGTTCTCAATTACGTCACGTAAAAAAGAATACTACTACGTACGTAACGAAATATTTGTAAACGCGACCCAAAATATTAGTAATAAATTCATGAAATAATGAACAATGATAGGATTTAAAAAATATATTGGATTCATTTGATCCACACAGACTCAGGACTTTAGTGATTTTCCCAAAGTCGTTTTCTTATAAGCCTTATTGTCGTTCATAAGTATTTTCTCAAATTGTATAAATGGTTTTAATTTGTAGAGTTTACCTTATTAAGCCGCGGATCTTTTATATGGTCAATGCCTCTGAGCATATTTGGGCAAATTATGTTACCAGTTATCTCATGCATATTTCTTCTCTGGTCCAAATACTTAGGTTGTAAACCATTTATTATATTACGCTTAAACTTTGTTCTATCAAAACTGTAAATAATTAAAGTATGGAAAAGTAAATACCAGAAGAAAGCAAGAAGCACAGAAATATGACGATGATGATGTATTTCATCTTGATCATTATATGTGATATGTTCGCAAAAGTAAGCTACAATATTTTTATCATAATAAAACAAAGATTAAATATCTATTTAATTGATATCATGGTAGGTATATGTGCTCGTTAATGTGACCATTAATGTTGTTGCAAACACCACTCTGTTTAGTTTTCATAGATTTTTCATCTTAAATGTAGGACAAAAAATTCCCACTAAACCGAATAAAAATACTTACATAAATGTTAAAAATGATTTAAAAAAAGGATTTGTAAACATTTCCAAATGAATTTCATCGACATAAAAGATCTTCATAAATGTCTACGAGACATTTTCTGTCAGTAATAATTCTAGTTGAATATGAGCGAAAATATCATTAAAACTATGAGTTTTGTAAGGTTTTATTATTGCATGAATTTAGACCATATCCTCTTCATTATCTCTGTTCTTTTCTCAGAGGAGAAAATCCTTCTTTGTAGACAGACGCAAGATGAACAGAGCCGGCTAGCCGGCAAATTAGATCTTTTATGAAACGTCTAAGCAAAAAGTGAATGTCATAAAAAGTTTATAGTAACAACCGGATGGCAATAACAAATATTTCTAACACCTCTTATAAAGGACGTACCTAAATAAATTAAAAACACATATCGCCGTTTTCATGAAATAGAAAAATATGCTATGTAACAACCTAGATTAAGAATCAATAATATATTTTATAGTAATAGCTGGGGGCAAGTTATACACACCCATATGGCTCCAACTTTTGGATTCTCTATATTCTATGAGAACCAGAGACTGATATGCATGTTTATACACGTTTTAATATCTTTATATATATTATATGATTCTATTTATTTATTTTCTTATTATTATCTTATTTATAATTTATTTTCTTATTATTATATTTATTTATCATTACCTTATTTATTTATTCTACTGCACGTGTGTATGTCACTGAACTCCTCCTAAACGGCAGGTCCAATTTGAATGTTTTTTTTTTGTATGCGTTTGGGTGGCGCCCTGGATTGTTTCGATTCACAAATCAGCCCGGCAGATGGCGCTGCAGTCGGTATCTAGGTTATTTATTAAAAACGTGTGAAGTTCGCTAGTATACATATATAGATATTAATGACGATGTGCGAATCGAACTCACTACCCTCGGCAAAGTAGTTGGGTCCGTTAACTACTGATAAAGAATATATGTATATATGTCGGAGACGGTCATTAGTTTGGTAGCTAAACGAAGTCGGAGACGGTCATTAGTTTGGTGGCTAAACGAAACGCAGCACGATTCCCGAGAGATGACGGCACGATATTTAGAATGTTGACAGTCATTCATATACTGGTGGCAGGACCTCTTGTGAGTCCGCGCGGGTGGGTACCACCACCCTGCCTATTTCTGCCGTGAAGCAGTAATGCGTTTCGGTTTGAAAGGCGGGGCAGCCGTTGTAACTATACTTGAGACCTTAGAACTTATATCTCAAGGTGGGTGGCGCATTTACGTGATGTCTATGGGCTCTAGTAACCACTTAACACCAGGTGGGCTGTGACCTCGTCCACCCATCCAAAGAATAAATATATATATATATATATATATATATATATACTACGCTCCAAATGGCCAGTACCTACCTATTGTAAAACGGCAACTTCATAAGAAAATACGTATTACTGTCAAACTTGTATAACATATTAACACATATTTTTTAATGTACAAAACATGCAAAAATGCTCCCTAATCCGAAGACTCAGGGTGTAACATGAATTAAAACAAGATTTATGCTTTCGAACATTTTAATCAGTAACATCTATAATTTCTTCGTAACAATTCAATCAACTAACCGTACAGCATACTCGTACACAGAAGCAGTTACACTCACATTAAAGGGATGAATTAAAACACTTTAATTGACCTACAAAAAGTTACTGAAATGTAAATGACCCTGAGAGTAAAGAATCAAGATCTATGAAGAAGAAAAAAAGACGACAAATTCCAAATAGGCAGAGTAAAAAAAACAAAAAAAATATATAATACTAATTAATAATTTTAATAAGCAATACGTTGAAATCGATTATTTCATAATATACATCTTCACAGCAACGTAATCACACCGTATCGGATGATACGTGATAAATAATATGAATTAACTACCTAAGATTATTTTTCTTCGCTCAGCGAAAGATTTTTGTCTCACTAACAAAATACTGAATTCAAAAATACTTAAAAAAAACAAATCTTAAGTCGTACTATCGATTATTGCATAATTTTCATCATAATAAGCAAGATCAGTTAAGTAAACAGCTAAATTGCAGTTTTCATTTTTATTTTCAAATTTACATATACTATTTTATTTTAAGAAAATGTCTTATATATACATACTTTCGTTTGAAACTTCATCTAGGTTTTGAGGACCTTTTTTAATGTTGGCAACTCTCTTGTTCGATTAAGATTCAAATCGATTTCATAATGTTTATCTACGTATTTAAATACGATTTATCATTTCGTTCTTACGATTTATTAAAATTTATAGTTTTGATTAATACCGGTTTTAAGATGACATGCGAGTTTTTTTTTTCTTTCATGCGGTGACTAGACTGTTCTCTCTGTTCATCACGTATTTCAAAGGTACATTGGAAGCGAAAAAGTTAATAAAAAAAAAGCATTCACAACTTAAAAATAAAATGAGTGATAAAAATATTCTAAGCATTTCATCGGATCATTTTTGTTATATCGACGCAAGTTAATTATTTATGGTGCAAATAAATTTTAGTGATTTTCAACAATCAAAACTCAGATTTAATAAATAACTTTAACATACAACATACTCTAAAACTACTCACACATACAAGTTCTTCAAACTACAAATTCAATATTTTTTTATTTATTTTTACTAAAATTTGCTAATTGCGTTCTTAAACTGGGTTAACGCTTATATTAACATTGCTTATATCATAAAAAAATAACATAAATAATACGTTAGAGGTAAAAATACTTTGTGTTGTTTTTCATTAAAAAAATGGGTAATGTAATGAACACTCCGATAATGTACACTTAGCACAAGTTAGTACAGTCACAATCTTAAATAAAATAATCCTGAAAACATTGGACAATAGACGTCAAATGTCATTATAATATATTTAATGTACAGTCAAGCCAGAAAATGTGAACATTAAACAAAAATCAATGATTAAAATTCAATATTACAGTTTTTTTTTAAATATTAAGTACTTGACTGCTCGACTGTACGTGTCCATGTTTGAATAGAATAATAATACATTGGTAGTTTAGGTTTAAATGTTCTTCGGTACAGGTTGGATGGGTCTAACGTTGAATTTCTCCTCGGGCTTCCAATCCCAGGTCACCGGCATTGCAGATTCGTAATAATAGCTGTACATTTGGTTTTGTACGTGCTTCGGTAGATCGCGAGGCTCTGGATACACTGAAGCAAGACCTACAGAACAAAATGTGATTTTGACGAAGATTCAAAAATTTATTTTTTCTCCTACCTACGCCCAAAGTTCGCTTTTCGTCCCGCTGTACAGGGAAGAAAGTGTAACTTTTTCTCCATGGGTACTGACAAGTGCGCATGCGCGTTAGTGTCTACGTCTGCTCTCACGCACCTAAAATTCTCCGCCATTGTTGTGCTCGGGTAATTTGCAATATTGTGTTTAGTGTAAAAGTGAAATAAACAAAAGGCAACAAAATTTAATAGTGAAGTATTAAACAAAGATAAGTTCATCAGACAGTTCTTATTCAATTAGTAGTAGTTTATTTAAAAATTAAAAAACAAATTGTTTTGGGCTCCGCCCCCCACACCCCCTTTCAGTTTCCCAAGTGATCGGGAAATGCCTCAAAAATCAGTGCAAAAACATGTCTGTTTTTTTGTGTCGTTTTCAATTGTTACACTTGTTTCAGTCTAGCCCTTCAGCTCGCAAATATGAACAACGATAAAGAACTCTATTCCAAATCTAATAGGGTCACATTTATCTCGGAGACAACCTAAGTTCGTGATAAACTTTAAGTCTCAAAATGATAGTGACGTAAGGCTGTTTCTATACTTCTATACTAATATTATAAAGAGGAAAGATTTGTTTGTTTGTATTGAATAGGCTCCGAAACTACTGAACCGATTTGAAAAATTCTTTCACTGTTTGGAAGCTACACTATTTATTCCCTAGTGACATAGGCTTATAATCTTTTTTGAAAAAAATTAGGGACCCTTACTAAAACTCCAATAATGTAACCCAAGGTGTAAAACAATTATTACCTAAAATATTCTTTACATCGCGTGCCCTGCGAAAACTATTGATGATAGAATAAAATAATTTACAACAACTTTGTAGAACACATTATTATTTATAAAAAGTTCAACGACAGCATATGTCTAACTATTATAGTTACGCCGCAATAAGTGTTCTTATATTTTATTTTAAAAAATAAAACAACGTCAAATATCGTTGAAATTTTTGTTAAAGACCCGAGCGAAGCCGGCAACGGGCCGCTTGTAGTGTATAATACTGTAGGTTTGGTTTTGATGACGTTTGTTACGGAACCCTAGAAATAGTGTTGCGACTCACCTTCGTCGTATGCGGTCTTAGCGACTTCGATGGCGATAGCGACGGACACTTCTTTCACTTCAGCCAGCGACGGATAAATGCGACCGATGGATAGATCCGACTCGCTTACGTAGTTCGCCAAAGTCTGTTAATCAAATCGAATTTGTATTGAACATGAAATATTTTTCATACTATGCCAATAAATTTCAGGATTAATTTTTTGTGTAATAAAAAAATAAATGAGATATATTTTTCATTTTTTTTTTTGCTCGAATAGATAAGAGCTTGCCCAGCCTCTGGTAACCACTTATCTATGAATTTTAGAACTCGTTGTATCGATTAATAACGTAATTTAAGACCTATTTCAGTTTGAAACGTTCAATTAGAAAAACTACAATCATGGACACCGGATTTTATGAGGGCGAAAGAGATGGAGAGCGAGTGTATGTATTTATATCGACACTAGCTGTACCCGTCCGCTTCGCTGGGCATTTAAAATTAACATTATTATTTCTCACCCCCACAAAGATTCTCATCACTAACGCCCCCGCAACTGGTGTAGGGAGTCCACTCATATAAATATAATCATATAAAATAGTATAAATATTACCCTAACCATACATGGATACCAAGTTTCAAGTCAATCGGATGGGTGGTTCAGGAGTTATAACTACTACTACTACTATAAAAAACTACTGTAGATTTATAATATATTAGTATAAAAGAGGGGGAGAGAAAGGGAGAGGGAGAGAGAGAGAGAGAGAGAGTCAGCTACACTATATATCGGCATACGAACCCTGGCCGCCGTCAGGAACATATTCTCGGAGATGTGATGCGTGGCCGTGGCGATGACGCCGAGCGCTACGCCGGGGAAGATGTAGGCGTTGTTGCCTTGTCCCGGGCGGTACTCCCGGCCGCTGTACATCACCGGCGGGAACGGGGAGCCGGACGCGAATATGCAACGACCCTGGGAACGTTACGGCAACTTTGTATATAGGTAATGTTAAGTCAATCCTGGATGTTATTCCCGGTCCTGCGGACAGAATGGAAAGCAGTCGAAGTCGTCCAAGACATGTCATTTCGGATCCTCAGGATCCACTAAAGGTGCTTTTAGGTACCTCAAGCACCGGTTATCGTTCTCGTCGAACCCGTCGCTTGCGACGAAGGGCTCGGAGAGTAAATTAACCCACAGACAGCCCACTGAGTTTCTCGCCGGATTTTCTCAGTGAGTCGCGCTTCTGATCCGGTGGTAGATTCTGCGAAGCACGGCTCTTGCTAGGGTTAGTGTTAGCAACGTCGTCAGGTTTGAGCCCCGTGAGCTCACCTACTAGTTAAGGTTATGCTGAAATAGCCTCTCAAGACTGCTATCAGCTTAGGTAGGAAAAAAATAACCTGGATGTGTACATTTATCTTTGATATGATACGAAAATAAGAAATTAAAAGAAGTAGAAATAATAACAATCGAGCCGTGAAGTTGGCTTTTTTTAAACTGTATTTTTTTATCATATTTTCATATTTACACATTTCACATTTTAATACAGAACGAACCAGTTGTACTGTTTTTTTTTCTACCTAAGTTGTTAGCATTGAGAGACTATGTCAGCATAGCCGGGCGAGTCGGCTGTACTGCGTGTTCAGTCTAATCCATGCAAGAAATAGTTTTTTTTCTGAGTCGAACAACAAATTACGACTTTCTTGATGGTCGTGGTCTGCACGGTCTTGTGACTTACTTCGGTATGGTCGTAGGCGTCTTGGGCTGTGCACTCAGCTTTACTGGTCGGATTTGAGAGAGCGAATATGACGGGTCGCTCGGTGTTCATCGCCATTTGCTTCAATACATTGGGCGTGAAAGCGCCGCCCACCGTTGAACAGCCTGAAAAGAAAAACCAAAGTTTTATAATGAAAGTATATACAGGGTGTCCCAGAAAGAATGGATAATCCGAAAACACCTCATAGTAGAGCTAATGGGTAATCAAAAAAATTAAAATACAAAAAATTCTTAGGTAGTACCCAAATTAAAAATAAAGAAAAAATACCAATTGTTATGAGTAAAATTTAAGTTCAGATTAACTAATAACAAAAATACACTAGCTACTCATACGATTTCCTGCATATTCCTTAGTATAGATACGGAGACATTTAAATGGTGTTTAGTTGTAAGGTTAGAGTTTATAAGTTTACTGTTTGTCTTCCTAATAAAAAACAAAAAATAGTCCATGTAGAATATTATAACACCAAAAAGCCTATGGATTTCATTTATTTGTAGCTGTTGTATATTCCAGAAAGGATTAGCAGTATGAAAAATATCAACTTTTTTTTTAAATACGTAATTTGGGTACTACCTGAGAATTTCTTTTTTTTTGTGTCCTCAATAGCTCTACTATGAGGTGTTTCTGGATTATCCATTCTTTCTGGGACACTCTGTATGTGTTAAGTTTTTTTTATTTTTTATTGCTTAGATAGGTGGACGAGCTCACAGCCCACCTGGTGTTAAGTGGTTACTGGAGCCCATAGACATCTACTACGTAAATGCGCCACCCACCTCGAGATATAAGTTCTAAGGTCTCAAGTATAGTTATATACATATATAGATAGATTAATTTCTAACCAATAAGACAGCTAGGCTTGATCTTGGCAACGCAGGCCTCGAAGTCTTTCTCCGGTTCGATATCCTTCCCGAAGGCCTTGGCGTGCTCCGGAACCCCTCCTTCACGTCGAGTAGACAATAGTCCGTCGACGTCGAACATGTACACTCTCTCGCGGGCCTGCCTCTCGGAGAGTCCGTCCGCCATCATGGCGGCCACAGTCAAGTTCGCGATGCCGTTAGCTGCCTGTAATATTAAAAAAAAAGTGTTTAATACGAGACTTTGGGGACTTTTTGGTGGGAAGGCGAAAAGAAAAGTTGCGTGAATTGTTTTCTTTTTTTTAATTTAATGATTCTGCAGGAATTAAACGTGTAATAATAATGGCTTATTAAACATTGAGCATCTATGCAAGTGTAGGAATATGAAACAAAACCAATGGACATGGCTTCTCGGGTTCCTTGAGATAATCCACTGAAGGCCCATTAAATTACCACAATTCCACTTTTACTTTTATTTCATCCCATCTCCATCTCGTTTCGTTTCATTCCGTCCCAATCGATGACCATCTCAAATAATTCAACTACATCTCATTTCGCTCCATATCATTTTTACATTACAGAATATGTATGTGTATGTATTTATAGATGAAGATTTTAATAAACTTGTCTCTGGCGAGAATGGCATCGCAAGAAACAAATTGGTATGTTTTTGACAAACCTCTGGCTACTGCTACTACATTCTTACAACTCATTCGTAATAAGCTATGCCCTTCCAAATGCTTTTCATCGATCGCCCCTTATTTTTTGAATTACTTTAAATGGTGGCAAAACGTATTATGGGCCCGCATTGGTAACATTCATGTTTTGCGGTCTAAAGGGTCAGAGAGGCATATTACATATAATATGAGTATTTAACCTCATAAATAAAAACTGGCGACTGTATTCATTTTATTATATTCATTTTATTATATTCATTGACTACTTTAGAGACTTAAAATTTGGGTGGTCGAATATAGATGTCTGAATTTACAGATGTTCTGGAAATAAATTCCTAATTAAATACAGTCAAAACCGTTTACTGCGACATCGTTTAGAACAACATGCCGGTTATAATAACCTAGAACAAAGGTCCCGGCTGAATGCTATATGACCGCCTTATTAAAAATATTGCTTTATACGACATTGCTAATAACGACATACCTCATAAACCGACCACATTTAACTAATATTTCGGAGAATTAGATCTGTTAGAACGACCGGCTAAACTGTATTATAAACAATTTGAATACGTATCTACATTTGTCTTCAATGGCTATTAAAATCAGGAAAGAAAACAATAGGATTTAATTTAGTGTAGGGTTTTTTCTAATTCTTAGAAACAAAACACGTGCATGCAGTTACTGTACCAACTTTGAATGATGTTATCAATGCTGTTAGTGTATTAAGAAAGATTGTTCTTTTTAATGAACAGTTCCACATCCACAGCAATTATGACGATACGTTAAGTAATTAAAATCCAACGTGCATTACGAAATAGCTATGTACAATAGAAGTGTTCCAAACAGACCAAAATTACAAATTTTATGCTCACAGAAAAATAATATGCATTGTACTTATGTGTAATAAACAAAATGTACATAGTTGAATAAATATATTTTTCCAATAATTCCCTATCGATTTGTTTGTACTTGCGCGATACACATTAAACATCACCGGTTGTTACGACTATCGGTTTTTACGACTGAATATGAGCAGTCCCTTCGATGTCGTTATAACAGATTTTGACTGTATATCAGATACACGCCTACACAGTTTTTATGCCTTTTCTATTTATCTGTGAATGTATACAATGAGTTCTTTAATATAGTTCTTTGATTTACGTAACGTCATCGTCAGAGATAATATAAAGATATGAACAAAATTATGATTAAATTAACATAACAATAGCTTACACTGTATAAACATAAATAAAATTAAGATAATTGTGCAATCTCTTCAAACCCACAAAATATCTTAACACTTAAAACAAATAAATGTAAAATACTGTTGAAAACCACTGTAATTTTTTTTAAATTATAACCACAATTTTATCTCTCATCAACCGAATGATCATGGTTCTATACTCTTCGCATAGACGAGTGTTACTGTGTTACTTATAATATTTGCTATGTGTATATGCTATAATTCTCATGTTGTATTTGTTATTTTAGTTATGTTTTATTTGTTCTACACACACTTATCACTTTTTATTATTATTCTCATTATCCTCTCGCAGGTCTGCTGGAAGAGATTTCTCAAAGAAATAAGCAGTGCCTTTGTACATAATTTTCCTATTACTCTGTACTGTGTCTTGTTTTCTGTGTGTACATAAATAAATAAATAAATAAACATTCGACATCTTGTCATTTCGTGAATATATTCTTTTATTCGTCGGTTTATACTTCTTTCACTCGGTAACAAACTGATTGGCGCGATAAAGAGGAGACAGAGACATGGAGAGAGAGAACAGGAGAGAGAGAGAAGTGAAAGGTATTTCATTGATTAGTACATATGAAGCTAACTTTTACACCGAAAAGTTTATTTATTTCAGAAGAAGTCTTCATTATATATTCTTATCAATAAACTACCAAATCACTGGGATAAGATTCAATCTTAAAAATGCCTCACATTAGAATCAGTACGTTATTATGTTGTACATTTAAAAATTAACTGTAATTAGCATCGGGAAAATAATAATTATTATAATAATATACACATCCTTTTATATTAAGTATATTACTCACATTGCCAACTCATTATAACAGTCTTCCCCATTTGTAATTACAATTCGTTTATAAATCACAGTTCAAAATTTATTTATGTATTTATTTGTTATTACTTAGATGGTTGGACGAGCTCACAGCCCACCTGGTGTTAAGTGGTCACTGGAGCCCATAGACATCTACGACGTAAATGGCCACCCGCCTTGAGATATAAGTTCTAAGGTCTCAAGTATAGTTACAACGGCTGCCCCAAGCTGCTGAAGTAAGTATTTCATTAGAAAAATTGGTACCCGCCCGCGGGTTTCGAACACCGGTGCATCGCTCGATACTGGTGGGAGAAAAAATAGTATGTGCACCGCGGGAGAAAAGTAGAACATCATGAGGAAATGTCCTACTTTTCTCCCGCGGTGCACAACGTACTATTTGCAATCCATTATAATTCAACGCAGCCTGATGGATGAGAACCAAATATAATCTGATATACTCACAGATCCAGCACCGAGGAAAAGGTAAATGTTCTCACTGAGCTTCCTCCTCGTGACCCTGACGGCCGCCATCAGACCGGCGACCGCAACGCTGGCCGTACCTTGGATGTCGTCGTTGAACGTGCAGTATTTATTGCGGTATTTCTTCAGGAGCCGACCGGCATTCGGAAGCGCGAAATCCTCAAACTGAAACATTTATTTGAGTAATTTTAAATTTATGTTTTAGTTTTGATAATCTCGATTAGTAAATTGTTCTTTTGATAACAGATTATTCGCAGACTAGCTCACGACTCAACCTGACCTTATGAGGTTACCTCAGCCCATAAACGTCACCTCCAGAAATCGATGGCGATTGTTTTGTCGCAAAAGCTTCGCGGCAGAAATAGACCAGATGTCTATATCTAATGCGACATGTCGACAATGCGCTCTATTTAACCCATAGACACAGCCCAGTGAGTTTCTCGCCGGATCTTCTCAGTGGGTCGCGTTTCCGATCCGGTGGTAGATTCTCCGAAGCACTGCTCTTGCTAGGGTCAGTGTTAGCAACACTCCGGTTTGAGGAGCTCACCTACACACGTTAGTGTGAAGGTGAAATAGCCTCTCAAGGCTATCAATCAGCGCTCACAGCCTATCTGCTGTTAACCTTTAAAATGCCGAGTTCAATTCGATCTAATAGAACGCGACTGTGACGGGAAAAGAACTGCGCGCAGCCAAAGAAAAGAGTTGTTGAAAAGTCGAAATCACACGGAAAAAACGAATCCATGTCATTCTTGTAATTATTTTGGCTAAATAATCATTAATCAATTTAATTTTCAAGACTTTTTAAACAACCCCATTAACAAAATACGTAATTGATTCAGGAAATAAAATAATTTACACATTTGGCACTATAATTTTGAATATTATTATATTGAGGTTTTCTGATACACGGGTAATCATATATTTGAATTTAAAAAAATATATCACAGCGTTATAAATAAAAGTATCATAAATGAAATTGACAAATAAATCGTATATAATTGAGCGTAGATTTACTAAGTTCCGACTGTTTACGGTAACATGATTTGTGGCGTAATATTTACGTTGCGGCATTGCAGAGGTTAAGTTACCGGAGTCCATTGAGAATGCAAATACCGCCACCTTGAGACATGAATTCTAAGTCTGCGTATTTAAAGCACAACGGCTGCCTCGCTCTTCAAGCCGAAACGCATTACTGCTTCACAGCAGACTTGCAAAGCGGTGGTAACCTACCCACCCGTATAGGCTTATAGGACGCCGTGCTGGTAGGAAAGAAATATGTATGCGTTGAACTTTTATTTTAGTTTTGTTGGATTATAATATTAAAGTGTGTTTTTTTTATTGCTTAGATGGGTGGATGAGCTCACAGCCGACCTTGTGTTAAGTGGCTACTGGAGCCCGTAGACATCTACAACGTAAATGCGCTACCCACCGTCAGATATATGTTCTAAGAGCTCAGTATAGTTACAACGGCTGCCCTACCCTTCAAACCGAAACGCATTACTGCTTCACGGCAGAAATAGGCAGGGTGGTGGTACCTACCCGCGCGGACTCACAAGAGGTCCTACCACCAGTAAACCATGTAATTTAGTTATAAGATACCAGAGAACATAGACAGGGAGACTATTTGCATTCGTATAATTCTAACGAACTATAGTATTATTTACCGACCATTACATTATTTTTTATCAAATAAATAATAATAAATATATAAATTTATGATAACACTTCTGTCAATTCGATTCTCGGTTTCGTGATTATTCTTGATTGCACATCGGTTATTTTTAGAAATATTCGGAAATACCTATTTAATAATCACGTGATTTCTGATTTCTCTTATCTTAATAATCAATTACTATTAAGCAGTCAGTTCCTTTTGACAATTAAAGTCACTCACAATATTTTAATTCTGAAAAACGTCAGCGGTAGGTACAGCGCAAATATAACTTTTATTTCCATTCATTTGTTTTCTTGGCTCAGAGTCAATTTAAACATTGTAGTCTAATTTAAATTTTAAATCCGATGATAACCGGTCGCTAACGTTACGGACAATAACATCGCCTGTTATAACTAACGTTTTTTTTTTTGCGAATGATGGAATTTGCTTTAAACTACTAGTTTATATTAAGATTCGAAATTAATTTTATAGTCGTGACTAATGTAACAAGATAGTGAAACTTACGATACAATAATATAATAAACTAGCTGACCCGGCAGACTTCGTAGTGCCTGAATCGATAAATAAAAGACCTAAACTTTCGTATAAAATAAACTTAAAACAAACAAAAGGAATCAGTCCGACGGGGGACATAAAAGGAAAAACAAAATGGTTATTTTTAATTCCGACCGTTTTCATATTTATCTATCTTTTAAACCTTCTCTGGACTTCCACAAATAATTCAAGACCAAAATTAGCCAAATCGATCCAGCCGTTCTCGAGTTTTAGCGAGACTAACGAACAGCAATTCATTTTTATATAGATTACGTAACTAACTATATATGTACATCTCTCATCTCTCTCTTCCTAGCCATTCATCCCAGATGGTGTTGGGATCAGCTTTCCTTATTTTTCTCATACACATCGCAATCCAATCCTCGACATCATCGTCAGTAACATTACATTCCCGCTTCAGCACTACATCTTTCCACCTTGTCTTGGGTCTTCCTCTAGATCTCCGACCGGGGAGGTGGAGCTATAGCGCCAAATTTTCGACGTAGTCTGGTGGCCTCCTTTTTATGTGACCATATAATCTCAGTCTACTCTCCTTTGTTTTTTTGACTGCTTCTATCTTGTCAGCGATGTCACTTACACTGATCCTCGTATGTACCCGTTGCGATTTTGTGAAGCCTGATTACGCCGTACATTCACCAGTGTGCTTAGTGCGAGTTTTTTAACGTTCTCGATCGCGTAAGAGTTAACTCAAATTTGTATGGAGTTGGAACGGCGCTCCTACGTTCAAACGTTAGCACACTGAGTATCTTTATTTCATAAACTTGGATGTAGGCAAGTTCTTTCGGGTTTGCAACCCATACAATTAAGTATGTATCAGGGGTGGCCAACCGGTAGATCGCGATCGACCGGTCGATCGTGGCTAATTAGTTCAGTCGATCGTGGCAAGATAAAAAAAATACCTATAAATACACAGAGCAGACTGCGCAACGTAATCACCAATTGCTGCACGCATCACTTTCATCTTGTATCATTTATTAATGACCATTACATCACATTATTTATCCTTTCTTCCACACAATAGTTCTCTTTTATTAAATAATTTCAGCTTTATGTTAATATTTTTAATAAAAGAAAATATACTACTTATTTGTATACTGAACTACATTGTTTCACTAAATTTCAAGAAATGTCATTAGTAGATTGTAGTGTTACGTCAGTAAACAGTAGATCTTAGTTCTAATCAAGTTGGCCACCCCTGGTATATATGTATAATATATTTGCATCCAGCACCAGCTCACAGCCAATTCGGTAAAAAGAAGCTATCTGAGCCCATAGTCATCACAACGTGAATGCCACTACCGACACCAGACGAGGTCTCAATTGCATTGTATTGCACCTTTGGTAGCATTCTTCTTAGTCATTTGCACTTGGCATAGCGGTCGTGGCCATCAGTTCGGGTGGTGGTGCACTTTACAAGACGTCACCATTCCTCAAGTACGCGGCCCTACGCGGCCACTCGTTCACGCGACCTTTTAGAGCTGCCTTTGTTTGGTCGGTCCGTCGTTGCATACCCGTGCGGAATTACAATATTTTTTTAATTGCCCTTGGAGCAACCCTCGTTGGAAAAAAGACATGTCATGAGCATCAGGAAAATAACGTGAATATAAATGCCGATTGACGTTCGCAATACCCTCCGGTGCACTACTCAAAAAACGCTGCCACACATTCTCCGGCAAATGTCTATGTCACCTTTAGTCGTCACGATATCGGATACTAGGTGTGTGTATTAAGCATTTAGAGTTAATGAATAACTTCTATGTTTATTAATGAATCACGCACGACTTGTCGAACGATGATGTCATTTAACGCGTCCGTGACGTCATCTCTGGATTACGCATCTCTATGTATGTGCTCAGTTTATTTTTATTAATTGCGTCAAAAACACGGAAACTATTCCTGTTTGATATTTTTTTTCTTTGTTTAGAAAACCACCCACTTTGCTGTTGTTATCGAAACTTAATCTCCCAGAATTTGAGTTATGTGCTATTAAAGAGAAACAATTTTTTTAGTGGCCGTATGTCAACAGACGAGTTCATTGCCCATCTGATGTTAACGAAACCTACACACCGACACCCCCGCTCCCTACCCACGCCCCCTATCCGCGACACTGCTTGCACGTATTTCAACAAGCACACCAAAAATAATCTTATGTACGTACATAGATAAACGTAATTACCCGTTCTCAGGTATTTTCTGATGCGAAATGAGTTTCGTTGGCAACGTTTTTTTAGACTTTATTTACTACGAAATACGAATAACATTGTTTATTATTTGTTTCGAAGAGTTCGCTAGCATTCGTACCATTGAAGTAACAAATCACAGCTCATCTGTTTATCCCTATTTGAGAATGAAGCGTTCGTAACAAATCGCAACTCATCCCTATTTGAGAATGACGCGTTCGTAACCAATCACAGCTCATCTGTTCATCCCTATTTGAGAATGACGCGTTCGTAACAAATCACAGCTCATCTGTTTATCCCTATTTGAGAATGACGCGTTCGTAACCGACCGGACTAGACACCCAGCAGGGTCACCTGGATGATAGATTTTGGATGACTCGAAATCGAACGAACAGCATCAACAACAATAATGTTAATCCTGTCCGCGCGTAGCTGGAATAGACCCATAGACTACCAGCGAATAGGGGACAAAGAAAACCGTTAACATAAAACGACTTGTTGCCAAGGTAAACGCGACCTTTTATCGTCCGACTAAAGCCCTATCTAAAACAATCGATCAGCTGAGTTGTTATATAAAGTTCTATTATTATCATTATTATTATTATACGAACGATTTATTTTCGAAATCGTATATTTACATATCAGATATCTGCATTATCTCATATTGATATAAATTTAATGCGGAATACTTTTTATCGTTTTTGTGGCAATTGTCTGACTGACGCGTTAAAGCACGTGTTTGATAATCTCGATTAGTAAATTGCTCTTTTGATGACAGATTATTCGCAGCCTAGCTCACGACTCAACCTGACCTTATGAGGTTACCTCAGCCCATAAACTTCACCTCCCGAAATCGATGGCAATTGTTTTGTCGCAAACGCTTCGCGGCAGAAATAGACCAGATGTTTATATCTAATGCGACATGTCGACAATGCGCTCTATTTAACCCACAGACACAGCCCACTGAGTTTCTCGCCGGATCTTCTCAGTGGGTCGCGTTTCCGATCCGGTGGTAGATTCTGCGAAGCACTGCTCTTGCTAAGGCTAGTGTTATCAAATTCTCTCAGGTTGAGCCCGTGAGCTCGCCTACCCACCTATCACCAGAAATTACATATTTTTTTATCCAATTTTATTCCCCATCGTGGAAGACCTTCTTGTACCTTTCTACGAGATTTGAACACCGACATAGTCGTATCGCTCGATACTAATAAACCGGGCGTCTTTTCCTTTGGGCCCTGAAGACTACCCACATCTAAAATTTGAATCGTCATTCTTTTAGACTCATTCGACCTTTAATTCTGCCGCGAAGCACTAATACGTTTCGATTTGAACAGTGAGCCAGTTATTGTATTGTAAAAACTGAGACCTTAGAATTCATGTCTCAAAGTGGGTAGCGGCATTTAGATCGTTGATATCCAGCAACCACTTAGCACCAGGTGGGCCGTGAGCCCGTTCTCCCATCTAGGCAATAAAAAAAATATTGGTATGGTGAATACCACAGGCGCTGTAAATAAATTTCGTTAGCACACAAACATATTATAGACCACAAGTAGGTATTCTATTTTAACATCATAAATATGTATAACTAACTTGGAGCAGAGTGTTCTGTCCGTATCTCTGTACACAGGCCTCCATGAACTCATCGATGAACTCGTCGTATTCCTTTCCTCTGGCACGTTTCTGCCTCAGACCGATGTATAGAGGATCTTCTAGAAGGTCCTAGGAGAACAAAAAAATTAAAAAGAAAATTGCGGTTAAATAACGATTTTTATTATCAATCTAATGATCCAGGATATTAGGTGAAGGAAATAATATGACTGTATTATCATTGGTACTTGATACTTGTGCAATTTTTACAAATGAAGCTAATAAAAACGTGTTAATACTTTAATATTTTTTTATTGTGTTTTTTCCATCCTATTTAATAAATAAGTGTATTTATTTAAAAGATACTAGTAAATGTAGTGATAAACTGAATATATTGAATACAAGCATAATATAGATTAGATTGACGCGCAAATAGTTACGCCAATATCTAAAATTTCTGGACGTTAAAGCTTTCCCCTTTTTTTAAAGTAAGCAGTTTGTTATGTCAATGTGTTTAAATAGAATGTTTTTTTCTGCAATATCCTTACTACTTTTAGTATTAACATGAAAAATAATGTATAAATATATTTTGTTTGCAAAATATGCGGCATATACATATAAGGAAAAAAAAAATTTCTAATATACACGTATATTTAGTATCGATTAGTTTAATAAAATTATTTTACGTACTGCAATATAATTTATGTAACACATTATAATGCGTTTTTCATTATACAAATATACTGAAATACCCAAAAAGCTATACCTATTTCGAGTATCAACACCTGTACAATTAATTAATGTATTATAATTATTGCCACTTTAATATACAAGAGTGTTTTCGAGAAAACACGTTTTTGCCACGTGTTAATGCGGTGTTTCCGGAGCGATATGAGTCACTCTTTAAAACGAAATTTGTAGTATCATCAACAGTTACCAAGGACTCAGCTGAGCCGGAGCCCCTAGATGCCAATGAGCGAAGATAAACAACTCATCATTTATATATTATATAAAAATTAATTGCTGTTCGTTAGTCTCGCTAAAACTCGAGAACGGCTGGACTAATTTGGCTAATTTTGGTCTTGAATTATTTATGGAAGTCTAGAGAAGGTTTAAAAGGTAAATATTGAATGAAAATGTTTGGAATTAAATAAAAATAACAAATTTGTTTTCCCTTTGATGTGCCCCCCGTCGGACGGATTCCTTTTGTTTGTTTTAAGTTTATTTCATACAAAAGCTTAGGTCTTTTATTTATTTATTATTCTTATATTTATTGAGGCAGTACGAAGTCTGCCGGGTCAGCTAGTCAGCTAATAAAAATCCCAAAGTATTCTATAAATACTTTAAAGATGGATTAAATAAAGACCTAATTATAACACCGTCAAAGCAAATCCGTGACCGTGGCCACGAATACTATACCAATATAGATATTAATTTAATTAATACCAGATAATACCTATAAAAGATAAATGAGCATTGATAAACGTAGACATTAGAACAGGTATTAGAATTTAAAATTTAAGTATTAATGTACGATAATACATATAGAAAAAAAAAGTTTATTTATATAAGTATTATTAATACACGACAATGCATTAAAAATAATTAGAATGAAAGTTACGCATAACATTTCAGCATTCTTAGTAATCGCGGGACAAGCGGGAAAGCGAGAATCGAGAAACAAAACTAGGTCAAGTGTAATTTAGCGCATGTTTTAGTTTGTACTGTAAATAAACAATTTACAAACATTTAGGACATTGTCAATGTCAATATCGTTTTAGGGTCGAGTACGGGTGGTTTGCGGCCTATTTTGTTGCCGTCCAGAAAACGCATGACCAATGACCGGCAATGACATATCGGCGTGTTAGTTATCCATACTCACTAATATTATAAATGTGACAGTGTGTTTGTTTGGGTGCTTGTCGGTCTTTCTTTGACGTCGAAACGAAGCAAGGGATTGATATACTTTTCTAAAATGATATTTTCGGTTAGGATAGGCTACCATTGTCCCGAATAAACGTCTTATTCCCAAGAGAAACTGTTTTATTAACCTCAGAAAAAATATTTGAAATTTATCCTTGACCCCGCGAACGAAGCCGCGAGTAATAGCAATATAGTATACATTTTCTGAGCACAATACTCAAATATCAAGGAATAATACCAGAAAACTGTAAAATATCTTTAAACGTCGGAAGTAATATAACCGATTAAAACACGCTAAATTAAAGAGTAAGAGAGTACATAGTTTTAGTTACCTTTTCCAAACCTTACCTTACCTAGTTAAAAGTTCAAATCGATTTAAATTGATGAATTATTTGTAATCGATCGATTGGCAATTAATAGAAAGAAAAAACGATTCGATTTAAACAAGCCAAACTACAGAATCGAGAGTTTATTGAGGTTCGTCCAATTACTCAACCCACGGTTTTGACGTAAAACCGATTTATTACTGGAATGTTCAGAAAATTTTACGTGTCTTAAAATTTGAAGGTGACAGTATATAAATAGATTTCAACCGCCACCATCATATAGTATGGTGAATATTCGGTATTTCTGCAATTTTTTTAATGCATTGCGTTGTTGTTCGAACCATTACGTGCAGTAGATATGCGAATGTTGCGATGGATGTGTGGAGAATGGATAGAATACGAAATGAATATGTTAGAGGAAGTCTGAAAGTGGGACCTGTGACAGAGAAGCGAAGTGCGCGTTTGGGATGCTATGGACATATGATGAGACGAAATGAAAATGAGGTTGGTAAGAGAGTGTTAACTATGAATGTGGAATGATATAGAGGAAGAGGTATACCTAAGAAGAAATGAATGGATTGCGTGAAAGACGATATGTGTAAGAGGGGAGTGAGCGAAGAAATGGTATATGATAAGAGGAGTATGGAAGGAGAAAACGTGTTGCGCCGACCCCAGGTGACTGAGAGAAGGGCAGGAGAATGATGTTGTTATTTGAACGAACTCACGGCCTAACTGGTTGTAAGATAACGAGAACTCCACCCGCCTTGAGACATGAGGTCGAAATTTGAAGTCGATCGGTCGAAGAAGTTACATTGTAGAACGGCTTTTCCACCAATTAAACATATCCAAGCTAGTAACTAGAAGTACTTCATGAAAATTTGTCAACAGAAGCGGGATTCGAACACCGACCCAGTTGCATCGCTCGATACGAGTGCACCGGACGTCTTATCCTTTAGGCCACGATTTCAAGTTTTACCTGATTGTCCGTTCCGACGTCCAGCGTAATCGGTAAGCATTGGTGTGGCTTAATCCCGGCCAGAGCTGTGTAAAGCGACAGCTTTCCCACTGGAATCCCCATACCGTACGCTCCGAGATCACCCAAGCCCAATATTCTCTCGCCATCGGTGAAAACAATCGCTCGGACATCAGGTTCTGGCCTAAAAACAACAAAAAAACTATTTATGACGTCACTTTACTCGCATTAATTCATACGTTCCGAGCAGAGCATACAACTAAGGGATTCGAAAAAATTAAAAAAAAAGATGTGTGGTGTCGTGGGACATTAGACAGGAACGAAGTGCCTTATTATAAAAATATTAATTTTAAGTTCTATTCGAGGTATAAAGAAAATAAAACTGGAGGTTTCGCAACAACCCACGGTCATTCGGTAACGTGCGAACTTATTGTGGTACACTTCATTCACGGTTGTTTGCATAAGAGTTAGTGTATTGCGCAAACGAACGCTCTGAGATCGTGGTCAATGAATGATAAAAAAATATGTTATTTTTTGTACGTTATTACAAAGTTAAGTCGAACACTGTGTGCATTACTAATAAAAATCTTACGTTACGGACGTTTTTTTCCCTATTAGGGTTCGCATCCGCATCGTCCCATAAGGAGCTTCGTTCCAAAAAACTCACCAATTTTTTATAATGTTAAACACGTGGCCTTTGTCGTTGATAGTCACGAAGAGACCTCTCGGCCTTCGGTATATGAGGCCGAACCTCTGACAGGCCAGACCAACGGTCGGAGTGTACACTATCGGTAAATACTTCTCGACGTTCTCGGCTAGAAGTCTAAAGAACAGTTTCTCGTTTCGGTCCTGCAATGCAAAAACGTTGTGTATACCTAGACGTGCCAATGAACTCATATTTATTTATAAATAAGAAATACAATACAAAACAGTCAAGTACCATTTTCACGTCTGTTCATCAAAAGAATTTGCAAATTTTTTTCTTCACTGCCTATCACATATAAAAAAGCTTATAATAAAACAATCAACAACAAAAAATGTGGTAAGTTTTTTTTTTTATAAAAAAAATCAATTTCAAAACCAAAGAGGAAGTGTAATACCTACATGAAATTGTCGAATTCCGATAATTAGGTACTACTAGTTAAAAATAAATAACAGATTGGTCTGATTTTACTAATATCAATTATTGAATACATTTGAACTTGATGTAATTTCGTGTGGAGGATTCTTTTATTTTATATGGCATACTACATGTTGACAGAGAATAGTTGAAGGCCGACCTGACTTTAAGAACTAGGTAGATCTGGGATGGCTATCAATCGCATCGCCACGATCAAACGCCATCAAACGCCACGAAACGGCAAAACCGCTTTGCGAAAAACGGTAACTATAGTGATGATTTTAATAAACGACTGTGTCACTTCACTACAGAAGTCGTTCGTAAACATATGTTAGGTACATAATTAATTACAAAAAATGACACCAGCACCGGATCGAAACAATTTACGGCGTGACTATGATAACCACATGATTATCATCGTCACGCCTCACTATTATGCGACTAACGTTACATCATAATATATTTTTCGTAAACCAAAAAAAAATGGTATATTTAATAGAGAGAATAATTTATAAAAGACTGCTATATATTCACCACATCTTTAAGCCCGTTAATAACGCGGTAGCTAGCTGATGCGAGCAAACCGAAACGCATTACTGCTTCACGGCAGAAATAGGCAGGGTGGTGGTACATACCCGTGTGGACTCACAAGAGGTCCTACTACCAGTAATTACGCAAATTATAATTTTGCGGGTTTGATTCTTATTACACGATGTTATTCCTTCACCTTGAAAATCAATCGTGAACAATTGTCAAGTACGTATTTCATTAGAAAAATTGGTACCCGCCAGCGGGATTCGAACACCAATGCATCGCAATATACGAATGCACCGATCGTCTTATCCTTTAGGCCACGACGGCTTCAAATTCCATTTCGTATAGGCAGATTCGTATTATTTAAATTTTCATTATTACAAGATAACATACGTTCCACATGATTGTGGGCGATCATGTCACGTACGGACATCGGCAATGCCAGGGTCAGAAGACGCTACCTACTACTAAATCATTATGATTTTAAACTACTCCTTAATATGTATAAGAACGATTGAAACTGTAATAAAACTGTTAAGACAAATTTAGTTTACATCAACCATCAACGTCTAACAGCCCAATAAACTGATCCGTCCTCACGAAACACTCCATCCCAAGTTAGAACCAAAACCGAAATTAATACGACGGATTTAATTAAATAAACGGTACCTTTATCAGGTTTAGTCACCTGTAACTCGACGAGGTAGAGATATTTGTTCAGATTGTCCTCGTATCTGTCCACTGATATCCTGCAAATGTCCAGCTGTTCTTCTTGACTTTTGAATTTGGCCGCCAAAAGACCGTGAATGCCCAGAGCCTGACGTTCTTCTAAAGTAAACGCGAGACCCTAAAATTGTCATTGAAACTTGTATCGAAATAACAAAGTAACATTTTATTAACTGACGTATCGTCTGCACTATCCAAACCAACAAACCTTTATGATTATCTTAATTATTCATTTCAAACGTGACCCTGAAATATAACCGGTCAATGTCTTTCGTATCAATTTTATAAGTGACAACCTAAAATATGATAACTACAGCTTCGATGCCCTACGTTTTACTAACTGGAACTTACTTTATTAAGGCGAGGATCTCTAAGGTGGTCGATGCCTCGGACAACATTCGGGCAAATGATATTGCCGGTTACTTCGTGGTAATCCCGACATTGTATCGAGGAAGGTTCGAGGATCGAGTTCTTTGTTAGGATGTACGCCAGGGCCCTGTTTGGACCTATTGCGTTTGTGCAACATCTGAAACAAATAAAGCAATTTCGGCTCGAGGCTGAAGTCTCAAATATATCTATATATATAAAAATGAATTGCTGTTCGTTAGTCTCACTACAACTAGAGAACGGTTGGACCGATTTGGCTAATTTTGGTCTTGAATAATTCGTGGAAGTCCAGAGAATGTTTCAAAGGTAGATAGATAAATATGAAAATGCTCGGAATGAAATAAAAATCCCCCGTCGAACGGATTCCTTTTGTTTGTTTTAAGTTTATTTTATACAAATTTTAGATCTTTTATTTATCGATTGAGGCGCTACGAAGTCTGTCGGGTCAGCTAGTACAATATAAAAATGACCGTCCTGTTCTAAAAAATGAAATGCAACATTGCTTATTAGATAAACATCAAAGCTATGGTAACTACATACACATAATATGTGCCGACGTCGCAAATTCGATTGCGCTGATATAGATATCTGAATCTGAACATGATAAAGTCAAAAAATACCGAGCGAATTTTCAAACGGTTTTCACCAACGGACGGAGTGATTCATGAGGAAGGTTTAGGTGCATATTTAATTGAAGCCGTCAGCGCAAAAGTGGCCTAAGCTTACCATAGTTAGTATGGAGGCAATTAGGTATAAATTTTCATGAATTTGAATTTGCGTAGGCAAAAAAACAATATGCGCAAAAATAATGTTTACAAAACTATCTGTCATCTATGGGTGAAACTAAGGCCGGTTTTGCACCAACCAAAATTTGCAATTGCAATGAAAAATTTATTATTTGTTAAATAAATTCCAATATTTTGACATATAAGCTTGAACATAAAAAATTGTGGGTTGGGCCACTTTTGCGCTGACGGCCTCAGTTATGATTTTGACTGAAATTAAATGATGATTGGTGAAGATGTCAGAATAATACCGACTGGGAGCATAACTAGCAGCATAACTTACGCGCGCCACGTAAAGCAATGAAGCTAAATTAAAATATTGTATTAAGCAATTAAAGGACGTCAAACATATCTCGAGATTAAGCAAAATTTTGGGTTAATAACTTACGTATTCTTATTAAATTAAATTAGACCATCGTTTTCTGAATTTTATCTAAATAAAAAACTGTTTTGGGACCAATCACTTAATTGTTTCTTTACGATTATTTTTCATCACAGAGGTAATACAAATTTTCACGAATTAGAGAGAAAATCTCGAGAGCTAGTGAGATTTATTTCTTTATTAAGCTAAGGCCTCAAAGGACCTGTGAACCAGTGGCTAGCGAAGCACAGACCATCGCGCCGCGAATTATGCCACCCACTTGAGACATGAGATACAACATCTAAATTGTATTATATTGTATAACGGCTGTCCCACACTTTAAATCTGAAGCAAACCGGTAGTTACATACATTACCGATTGACTATTATTACACAACTCATACATGTACGAATGTGGGGTTTTTAAAACCGTGTACCAAGTAACAAACGGCACAGCATTTAAATTACATACCCGATCCTGTAGACGGAATGGTAAACAGTCTACGTCGACCAAAACACGTCATTACGGATCCTCCTGTGCTTAACGGTGCTTTTAGGTACAACAAGCACCGATCACCGTCCTCGTCGAACCCGTCGCTTGCGACGAAGGGCTCGACGAGCGAATTAACCCACAGACACAGCCCACTGAGTTTCTCAAAGGATCTTCTCAGTGGGTCGCGTTTCCGATCCTGTGGTAGATTCTGCGAAGCACTACTCTTGCTAGGGCCAGTGTTAGCACCACTCCGGTTTGAGCCCCATGAGCTCACGTACACGTTAGGGCGAAGCTGATATAGCCTCTCAAGGCTATCAGCATAGCATAGAAAAAAAAGGCACAGGATAACATTAAAATCCGTTTTGCAAATAATAATAATCTATTTTTACATAGTTCTTGACATTGATAAGTGCTAAAGCTAGCAACGCTAGCAGCTGTAGCTCGTGACTGCGTTATTGTATGGATTTACCGAAATATTTCATAACTAATTAACACGTCGAAATTTTCTATTACAGCTTACGGAAATCGTGTATATGTTAATATATAAATATATATAGCACTTTTTAATTACTGTATACAGACGATAAACCGTATCGACTTTTGCCACAGTAAATTTACGCAAATGAAATCATTCTATACATATATTATTAGTGGAACCATTTGAAAGATTTAGGCCCAGTGGTGGAGCTAAAGAATTTTACGGTATACCCAATGTTCTTATATTATACAAATAGTAAATACGAATATTTATCGGTATGCGAGCCCCGCTTCCTCTAAATACAACTCTTCTATCCTCATAACCAATGAGCCAATAATAGCAAAGTATGTCAACTATTCTTATTCGCCAACAAACCTTCCCTTAATTCCTACCTTAAATATTTGTAGTTATTTTCTTTGATTTTCGTGAGTGATAGATATTAATTAAAACTACTTTTACAGTTTAATCTCGCGTTTTTATTGCCATTACATCGAGGGGCTGACGATTATATTTTGGTTTAAGCGACATTTTAAAACTTTACAGTAGAGACATTTCAAGTTTAAAATTTGGAAAAAATAACATGAACAAAAAATTCGTCAGCTATTTGAATGATATAAATATAATTGAAGTTCGATTAAGAACATCGAATTGTTAATAATAAATACCAAATAAAGAGGACCTTTAATTACAAAGATAAATGTTTAAGCCATAGACACAGCCCACTGAGTTTGACGCCGAATCTTCGCAGTAGGTCGCGTTTCCGATCCGGTGGTACCTAGATTCTGCGAAGCACTGCTCTTGCTAGGGCCAGTGTTAGCAACGTCGTCAGGTTTGAGGCCCCTTGCGCTCACTTAATAGTTAAGGTTACGCTGAAATAGCCTCTCAAGGCTCTCAGCTTAGGTAGGAAACAAAAAAAAAAGTTGTAGATGTCTATGGGCCCCAGTAACCACATAACACCAGGTGGGCTGCGAGCTCGTCCACCCAACTATGTAATAAAAAAAATAAAAAAGATAACCCCTTAACACCATAACATAGAGATGATATTACAGTCTCAAGGGCCACTCGAACGTGCAACAGCTTTCGACGAGTTCTATAACAGCTTCAGTCGAGGGGCAATTTTATTGATTCGCTTTCATCCGGATTAAATCAGTTCAAGTACGTACGATACGTCATCGTGCAGATTAACAGCGATCGCCGGATAAACAGTATTACTCCCATCAGAAGATGAAATGATTTAATAACGTCAAAACGTTTCGTGATTCATTCCTGAAAGATACGTAGTGTAGATGTGAATAATGATAACCGGCCAAAATTTTTTTAATTTTTTTTTATTGCTTATATGGGTGGACGAGCACCAGCCCACCTGATGTTAAGTGGTTACTGGAGCCCATAGAAATCTACAACGTAAATGCACCACCCACCTTGAGATATAAGTTCTAAGGTCTCAGTATAGCTACAATTTGGACAAATTGGACAACCGTTTGGACACAAAGAACCTAATGAATAAATTTTTTTAGTTCTTTTGCAAATAAAAAGGTAGCGAATTTAATGACAGAAGAAAAAAAGCACTGTAAGCATCCAAAATTTAACTGTTAGTAGAATTTACTTTTAATGTACAATAAAGTATCCTCTGCATTAAGTATACTTCGATATGACTGTCGCAGCATAGTTGAGATACGCTCCTTTGCTGAAAAAAAACGCGCCATCATCGTGCGTTCGAAAAAATGCGTATCGTAATCCGTTAATCTCAATTATATTCCCAATACTGAAATTCATGTTTTATATGATAATTCAAATCTTTAAAAAAAGAATTTATAAAAAAAAAAACAGTAGACATTCAATAACGTAATCGATATGACGTCTGAAAATGTAATCGATAATCTTTAATGCTTAGACGGCGACACGTAAGATCGATAAAATACGATACCAAAGATATATACCTGTCGAGTTCTATACTGACAATGAAAGTCGATATCGTTAATTGATGATCAATGTCAAGGTGAACAAATTATTTGTATGGAACTTACATTTTATTCGGTGCTTATTCACGACCTCATTGTTCAATCGTGTTGATGTAAATTACACACGTTGCATTTAAAATAATTAAGCTCTTCCGGTAGCTACAAACTTTAGTGGTGAAGCGAGTGTTATGTAATTGGTCGATTTTCGTGTGACAGTTATATTTGTATGTATGTCGTGAATGGGCGTTGCCCAAGCTCTCAATAACCATTGGCAAATTATGCAAGTGAGAACAACAAATTTGGCAAACAACGGACGGTTCGTGCCTTGCTACGTACAGACCGAGCCCCAAATATTACATTACCAACGTGCGAACAACTAATTCTTTTACAAACACAATTTTAGTCCACAGAACACGACGGCTTGTATACAAATGTCGTTATGTAAGAACGTCGTCGCGTCATTAATGAGCGCTGCTTTAAAACATAAACAAAGAAACTGAACCTATTAAAATTAATAATCGCAAACTGTCCAAATTAATAATTGCAATATTCGAGAACTTCGGCAATAGGCACAAGATCTGCTCCACCCCCTACCTTGAGACATTAGGTCGAAATTCGAATCACGTAACGCGTTAATGTTTCTAGACAGAAAATTGAAAACGGGGCTTCGAGCGGGCCACGATGTTGGGGCAAGTCATCGAGTTCCAATGGTAACACAAAAACTAGAAATAAGGTCTACATATTTGTCTGTTCTTAAAACCCGTAGTCTACCTGTGATCATGGCGCTTGCAACAACGCCAAAACATCCGGAACTCATTAAATATGAAAATCGTAATAAGAACCAATTAAATAAGAGTGTATGTAATGTATGGAGTTGAATTAGTAGTAGTTTAAGGTAGACGCAGTGCATTTCCGTTTGATCTGATTAATAACTAAACATACTATTATCATACAAAATCTGCTGGCCTTAGGGAATTGTCGTGGGAATGTAGGTGTTTACAAGCTTTCCAATGCCAATTTTACACACACATTGCGTGCAACTGCCAACTCTGTTTCTAATAGCTAGTCTGACCTAAAAATTATTACGCTAATTTCAACGAATGATTTTTAATGTACTCTTTCAACTATGTAACAGACCAAATTCCTTGGGGATTTTAACAAATAGAGACTAGCTCGAATGATAACGAAAACTCCTCGTCAATTCCGAAAATTCTAATGGAGGTGGAGACTAGGAAGTATGCCTATAGGCTACTACTATATATTTAACTTATGAAACGGTGTATGCCTAACATTACACACAAGATTAGAGATGAAACATTATGGAATCCTGAAATTGTATATGATCTATTAGAAAACCCAGACAATTTACATATTTCACGGAACTTCCTAAATATACATTCCCATTAAAAAGGATTTTCATAACCCAAAAAAAAGTCCACAGTGCACGCTGATGCTTCTTGGTCTAGTTAAATAACAGGAAATAAAATTCACTCTTAGAGCTTTAACACCAATCAGTCCTGGACAACATTGTATTGAAGAGAGGCTCACGATTCATCTTTTCTTTCTGCTTGGATGGGTGGACGAGCTCACGGTCCACCTGGTGTTAAGTGTTTACTGAAGCCCATAGACATGAACAACGTAAATACCGCCTTAAGATATGAGTTCTTAGGGCGATACAGATATTGAGCGGGAACGGAGGGCGCTGTCTGTAAGAGCTAATATGATTGCCCGCAGGTTCGCTCGATGTTCACCGGACGTCAAAATTACTCTATTTAGAGCGTTTTGTACGTCCTTCTACATGAGCGGACTGTGGGTATTCTGTATTTAAAAGCACTATAGCGCCTTATGCGTCCAATACAACAATGCATTCAGGGCGTTGTTGGGGCTGCCTCGGTTCTGCAGCGCGTCGAGGATGATCGCCGAGGCACGATTCGATTGTTTCTATTCGACCATACGGAAACGGCGCACATCCCTGATTCGCGGGTCCAGGTCAGCCCTAACAGCATCCTGAAGGCATTATAGAAGACCGTTATGAGTGTCAGTCCTTGAACCATGATGCCACGGTTCACTTGCAGACTAACAAAAATAATAATCACCTCTTATGCTTATAAATAATATAAAATAATATTATAATCTTAGTTGAGAAGGCCTATTTGTTTATTGTTAGTCTTAGTTTATTTTATCTTCTTTTCTATATAATTGAATTTTGACAAAATGTGTCTGACTATATGGATTATTATTATCCGATAAATAAATGAATTATGATTAATATTAATAGTCACAGACGCACAAAACACGAGGCCTTATCGTCAGTAAAAAGACTTAAGATGTTAGTCTCAATAGTAATATTACCACCGTATTCGCCATTTGTCTATCTTACTCTATAGATCAGAAGTCACAAATGTAAGAATAGGGAGTATTTCATGGCTGCCTCGACGGACCGTGCTAGTCATGGTCTCGTTGACTAACATTATTTTAATCTTCAATAGTTTATCGAAACCCTCCTGGGTGAGAGGGCATTGTTGCTTCGGTAAGTAGGGGATTTGTATTGCCAGAAGCAAGCTGACGATGTGCGACTTGAACATACCGGAAACAATCACACACCCGTTCTTTGCCTTGCATCAGAGACAACATAGTGTTCTTAGCGATGAAATAGGTTCTAAACGATCACAACGAACAATCGTACCCACCATCAATTCTAAGACCCCACCAACTGAAAAAACAAGGCGACAGACCATGAAAGAGCATCTCCCTCTGGACTGATCTGCCGAAAGTGTGGTTTTCATTGCTTTCTGTTACTTAATGTCAAAATGGGGTACGTAGGTGCCCTAAAACAATATTTTCCTATGTTTATCATTATGACAAAGAGTAACATCATCCAGGATACATAAATGCTCCCGGACATACATTGTTTTTGAAACTGCTATTGTCATGACACCGACAACCGATGGTCTATCACATCACAGACCACAGCATATGATGCCCTATATTTCTATGTTTTGTGTCAGCATGAATCTAATTGTGTACAAAGAAACAGTGAAGATACTGTTTGACTTCCATAATCATCTAAGGCGCCAAGTGAAAATTCAGTGCTCAATTTCGGAGACGAAAAAAAGAATGAAGCAAATATTGGAGAAAAATGGATTAAATGAAGAAAGCTTGTGGTTTTCTTATCCTTAAAAAGGGCCCATAAATATATTTACTGGAACTTTACCTGGTACTCCATCTAATAATCAGAGTTAATTTAATCGGAGTCACTACCACTTATATTTGAGGCTTATTTTGGAAGACATGAAATGTTAAAGGCTTATTAAAATTTATTTATAGTCCCTCACTTTTAATATTTATAAGAGATCCACTTTTTCAATTTATTTTTGAATTACCAATAATAATAGTATCTATTATTTGTTTATAGGACAGTGCTCATTCTTCTTCAAATCATTAAAAAAAAAAACTAAAATGCCAAGACTATTTGCTTATGTCTTACATGGTAAAATCTAAATTATTCTCTTATCAGTTATAATAATCTGTTATCTGATTATATTGCAGGTAAATCAATTAAGTAATTAAGGAAAGAATAATTTATTTTAATTAATGATGTTTCTTATTTTCTGTGAATATTGAGATGCAATAAATCTCCCATAATGATATAAAATAACAGAAACTTATGGCTATTCAATTCTGTAATTTACAAGACTGAAATATAACCAAAATTCTCCAAATTTTACATGAAGTGTAATAAATAAATACTAAACCTTAGAAGTCATGTGTCAAGGTGGATGCTAGCATTCACATTATAGATGTTTAGGGGCTTTTTTCAGGCCAGGGGCCTTACCTCCTACGAGGTTCCCGCGCCTAGGGGATGTTTATGGGCTACAGTAACCACTTAACACCAGGTGGGCCGTAATCTAGTCCACCCATCAAACCAATAAAAGACACTCAATAGATTAGAATTTAATTTAATATACAGTAAAATTTCAATATTTTAATAAATTGAATTATTTTTATTTGTAATTATTATTCTACATGAAATGTGATTTAAAAATCACAATTCTGTGAACTAGTTTCAAGCCACTTAATGGATATCTCAACAAGGTCACGTTGTGGAAGGATCATCTATTTTTTGCAAAGTAGATTATTGATTAGCATAATAACGTCAATTAGAAAAAAACGCTCAAAATGTTCGAATTTATATTACCGGATATAGGCGGAAAGAAAATTATAATAAAAGAGGTAAATCATAAACTTGAAACCTTGAAGCGAGCTAAGCGGTGTAAAGCATTTCCCGAATGAGAAAACCCAATGAAAATGCATGAATAACAAATAAACCACGAATGGGTTTAACTTTAACTGTTTTATACAAAACTGCCTATATCTAACATAGGTTTGAGAGACGCGCAAGTCTGCCGAACTCTATGCGTAAAAATGTAGTAACCGTTCCTTATTCTAACTCTCTCAGTTTGTTTCTAAATCGGATTTAAAACAGCTGTCACGTTATGTAAAGAACGAAAATAAAAGAAAATGTACTTACAATAACGACCTGGACACACTGGAAAACATTTCAAATATTTTTTTTCATATAAATGCAAATCACTAACAAACGCGAGACCTTCCCGTTACCCGAAATGAATTTTTTGCTATTTTTAAATAAAATTAAATAACGCCCTCCATTCCATGTAGTGGCAGTCGGACTGTTTCATAGATTAGTAATTTGAAATAAGAAGACTGTTCATAGATTAGATACTAGAAACTAAGTAGCATAGAGTATGACTAATGAGACAAACAAATGAGACAAACGAAAAAAACAAATGATCACCGTTAAGTTGGATCCCTTTACAAGATATTTATATTTTTATTGATCAGATTAATTAACTTTGATCAATTATCTTTTGTTCGACGACTATTGATGATTGTTCGATCACAAAAATAATTAAATTCCCAATTATTAATTATTTTATATCTAATAAACAAACCATCACCTCACGCCACCTTTTTTGATTTTTGGACTTTTTTTATTTCTAAATATTTTTTCGTCATTTGTTCGTTAATTCCGAATGTAAAAACTGTTTGTTCATCTTTTATTTATTTATAATTAATTAAAATAATGATCACCCTTAAGTTGGCTCCTCTTACTATAAATCTTTATTTTTATCGCTCAGATTAATTCATTTTGATCAATTATCGTTTGTTCGACGACTATTGGTGATTGATTGATCATAAAAAACAAGTAAATTAAAAAAAAAACGAAGCCTTGTAATATATATCAATCAAGATACTTCTCAATAATAATAACTAATTTAATATAGACGAAAATATATTTTTTTTAAATAAAATCCTGTTTATAGAGTATATTTATATATATATATATATATATACTAAGTTTATTCTTACATTTTAAATTAATTTCTACTAAATGTCCCTGCAACATATTTCTTGAACTTACAAATAATTATCATTTCAACAACAATGAACAATGAACTACGTAATGAATTTAGAAATTATTAATTTTATAATAAAACTAGCTGACCCGGTAGACTTCGTAGTGCCTCAATCGATAAATAAAAGACCTAAACTTTTGTATAAAATAAACTTAAAACAAACAAAAGGAATCCATCCGACAGGGGACACATCAAAGGAAAAACATCATTGTTATTTTTATTTAATTCCAAGCATTTTCATATTTATCTGCCTTTTAAACCTTCTCTGGACTTCCACAAATAATTCAAGACCAAAATTAGCCAAATCGATCCAGCCGTTCTCGAGTTTTAGCGACACTAACGAACAGCAATTCATTTTTATAACTAGTCAGGTCATAAGTATTGTCACACAGTAAAAACTTTTATTTTAGAATGCTGGCCACAAAAAAGTTTATTGAATTCGAATTTCGTGAAGTTCATGAAAATAAAAATGTATTCTTTTAGAATTTTACTCATTTTTAAATATGGAGTGGACGCTTAAAGAAGACCGTGTTGCAGTTATTGCGTTGCATCGTTGCGGTTACGCGCCAATTCAAATTTTTAACATACTGAAAAATTTGAATATAACCAAAATATTCGTTTATCGTACCATCAAACGATACAATGAAGACTCTAGTGTAGATGACAGGTCAAGAAGTGGTCGCCCTCGGTCTGTTAGGACTCCAGCAGTGATAAAAGCTGTGAAGGCGCGAATTCAAAGAAATCCCAAACGTAAGCAGAAACTGTTGGCCCTTCAGATGGGGTTAAGCAGAACCACGGTGAAAAGGGTGTTAAATGAAGACTTAGGGCTTCGGGCATATCGAAGAAAAACAGGACATCGTTTGAATGCTCGTCTAATGGACCTGAGACTGAAGAGATGCCGCGCTTTGTTGAAGCGGTACGCGGGAAAAAAATATCGGGAAATTCTTTTTTCGGATGAAAAAATTTTTACCGTAGAAGAGAGCTACAACAAACAAAATGATAAGGTGTACGCACACAGTAGTGAAGAAGCGAGCAACCGTATTCCGCGTGTCCAACGAGGTCATTTTCCATCCTCGCTCATGGTATGGTTGGGAGTTTCTTATTGGGGCTTAACAGAGGTACATTTTTGTGAGAAAGGTGTAAAAACGAATGCAGTTGTGTATCAAAATACAGTCCTGACGAACCTTGTGGAACCTGTTTCTCATACCATGTTCAATAACAGGCACTGGGTATTCCAACAAGATTCGGCGCCAGCTCATAGAGCGAAGAGCACACAAGACTGGCTGGCGGCGCGTGAAATCGACTTCATCCGGCACGAAGACTGGCCCTCCTCCAGTCCAGATTTGAATCCGTTAGATTACAAGATATGGCAACACTTGGAGGAAAAGGCGTGCTCAAAGCCTCATCCCAATTTGGAGTCACTCAAGACATCCTTGATTAAGGCAGCCGCCGATATTGACATGGACCTCGTTCGTGCTGCGATAGACGACTGGCCGCGCAGATTGAAGGCCTGTATTCAAAATCACGGAGGTCATTTTGAATAAACTTTAGTGTCATAAGAATCTATGTTTTGTTAAGTTCATTTTGGTATATGAATGGTTACATAATGAATAAACTTGTTTCAATTATTTTACATTGAACATGTGACAGAATTTATGACCTGACTAGGTATATACATATATAACAAGTATCATAACTATCTCCTATTGCATTGTAATGAATAGTATAATTTTAACACGAAAGTTGTACTCATAAAATATTCTTAAAAATAATTAGAAATCACTGAAATTTCAATGTGCTTGATAATATTCAATATCATTAAAAATAACTAAATTTATTAAAACCGCGCTAATCGTACCACAACGACCGTTTCATTCAATTCACTGACATTTTTTTGTTGAAGTTTTCAATAAATTTTTTATCTACATATTATGAAATAATTAGACAGACATAAACGCACATGTAAACAAAACGCTAGTAAATATGGCCATTGCCAGCTGACTGACAAAACCAGTGCATGCGCAATCTAGGCGTGAGGTGATGGTTTGCTAGATATAAAATAATTAATAATTGGGAATTTAATTGTTTTTATGATCGAACAATCACTAATAGTCGTCGAACAAACGATAATTGATCAAAGTGAATTAATCTGAGCGATAAAAATAAAGATATCTAGTAAAGGGGGGCCACTTAACGGTGATCTTTTGTTTAATTGATTATAAATAAATAAAAGACGAACAAACAATTTTTACATTCGAACATTAACGAACAAACGACGAACAAATAAATAAAAAAATCCAAAAATAAAAAAGGGGGCCAAATTTACAGAGCCGCCCGGAGGACTTTCCAGTTTTATCAGGGCAAGTAGAAAATAGTGTTGGACAATAGAGTAAACTTTGGTGTATTATTTAAGAAGTAATTTACCTAAGACTATTATAACTTTTGATCGGACTTTGTGGCGGAAACGCGATAAGTGAAGTTTTGTGATTTGTTTTATTTTGTCTATTTAGTGTCTCTTCGGGCTTAAATGCGTAATAACGGTGGTTTATTAACTGTTTAGTATCTGTGAAAGTGCACAAATCTGGTAAAATAAAATAAAGCTGTTAGACGTAGCTTCTCGGGATCCTCCAAAAAGTCCACTGAAAAGTCTCAGTAAATGACCACTATTTTACTGAAATTATATTTCATCCCATTTTTTATTTCTTAGATGGGTGGACGAGCTCACCTGGTGTTAAGTGGTTACTGGAGCCCATAGACATCCACAACGTAAATGCGCCACCCATCTTGAGATCTAAGTTCTAAGGTCTCAAGTATAGTTACAACGGCTGCCCCACCCTTCAAACCGAAACGCATTACTGCTTCACGGCAGAAATAGGCAGGGTGGTGGTGGTACCCACCCGCGCGGACTCACAAGAGGTCCTACCACCAGTAAACTTATATATGACACTTTTGCCTTTCCAGCTGGAAAAAAAGCCTATTACGCTAATATGACTAATCTATGTTTATCTACATAATCATAGATTATACACTTATGTACCGTAATGAAGTTTTGAAGAAATTGAGAAAAATGTGGGTTGTGTTTTGTGAATAAAGAATAGATACCGTAGGAAAAATCAAATGACGAAAAACAAATTTTGAACAATAGTTAATTGTGCTGTTTGTATGTATAAAACATAAGGTGGCTAAGTGAGGACTAAATCTGATGCCATGATCCGGGAAGACGATCCTCAATTTCGGATTACTCCACTTCAACAAATGGCATCGGCATGTTCCGGCGCTCTTATAACCTCTTTGTTCAGTAAGTTGTGTTGATATATAAATTGATTTGTTTTGTAAGCTTCAGTTGTTTCATACTTGCTCGATGGGTTTTATGATTTTGTAATTTATACATTTTACGTTTATGCCCGCTGTTAAAGGAGTCACGGGTAAATTTAAGATTACAGGTACAATATTAACTATCAAACCATTGTTAAACGATACGCTTACACTGCGAACCTCCTTTAAACCTATTTTAGAATACTATGTTTTCATATTGCAGTGACACCATTAGATGTTGTAAAAATAAGACTACAGGCGCAACAGAAGGCTTTACTCTCAAATAAGTGCTATCTTTATTGCAATGGCTTAATGGAGCATTTATGTCCTTGTGGTGAAACTGCTTGGGTACCGAAAAGAGTCCATTTCCATGGGACTTTTGTAAGTACAATAGCAAATAAAGTTAATGTGTTGCTTTAATAAAAAAATTAACCTTTTTGTTTCTTGTCTAAAAACAAAAACCGCATTGCACGAATAATATGAATTTTGTTCACCAAATAAGAAAATACACCTGTTCTAAAGTTAATAAAATTGTGTAAATAAAATTTGAATAAAATTTAATAACTGGCCTTGTACATGCTCTTCGGAATTATAAAAGGTTTTCCAATAATAAATTTTAAGTTGAAGTCATCATGGCCTAAATAATATTATCGTGCCAGGTATACTTGTATCAAGTGATGCAACAATGCCAGTGTTCTACTCTTACTGGCAGATACCAATTTTCCTAATGAAATACGTACTTGACACATGTTTAAGAATTACTTCTATAATGAAGGAATAATGTTGTCTCATAAAAATTATACAAATAACAATTGAGACATTAGTCCCCAATTCCCAAGGTGGGTAGTGGCTTTTACTTTGTTATATCTATAAGCTCAATAACCACTTAAAACTAGATGAGGTGTCAGATAGTTTACCCATTTACACAATAAAAAAGTACTTAAGCTGACTGATGATATATTTTAGTAATTGAAATTGCTATAACAAGAATTTTGTCCAAAACCATAATATTTTATGCACTGTTATATGATATATTGATAAAAATAATAATGAATGCTGTACCATAACATGTCAGGTATTGATACACCTATTAAAAATATGTGACATATTTCTAATACTAGAATCATTAAGGTTAAACAGTTATATAAATTACACTGTAAACCATATTAGAATAAATGGTTTGTTACCATTTTTTTATTGCCTTTGTAGTCAGACGAGCATATGGCCCACTTAAGTGATTACTGTATGCCGTGGATGTCAGTTAACAATACCAGGGGCAGAGCCAAGCCCCTGCAGACATATTCTATTACAAAAAAATGTGTGCGTGTACTAGTGTACACACGTAAGAAGTGAAACTTATTTATGGCCTTATTTTTCGAAAAATGATCTACATGCAACTTTCTAGAAATTGGTTAAATAAAGTTAAATTAGATAAAGTTTAAACAAAAGGATTTTATTATCATAGACATGAATACAAAAAAGTTAAATTAGATAAAGTTTAAACAAAAGGATTTTATTATCATAGACATGAATACAAAACAGATGGCGCGTAACGGAAAAATGTGACGCGTAACCGAAAAATGTGACGGTAAATTTTTTTCCAACGCCGATAAGGAAGTTTCACTTCAAAAAGTTAAATTAGATAAAGTTTAAACAAAAGGATTTTATTATCATAGACATGAATACAAAACAGATGGCGCGTAACGGAAAAATGTGACGCGTAACCGAAAAACGTGACGGTAAATTTTTTTCCAACGCCGATAAGGAAGTTTCACTTCAATAAAATTATCACACCAATGTTTGTTTATTTATGAATGACAGTAAAATAAAGATATGATTATAATGTAAATAAATGTGCTCTTTATTTTATTTTATTTTGTAATTATTTTAATTGTTTCTCTTATTTGCACACCAATAGAATGCAAAAACTACAATTAAACCTATTTTTTTCAATTCCAGGATGCTTTCTACAAAATAGCTAAATTAGAAGGAGTACCAGCGTTATGGTCTGGCTTAAGTCCCACTTTGGTATTAGCAGTTCCATGCACTATGATCTACTTTGTATCATATGAACAATTAAGATATAGAATGAAGACAATGCACAATAAAATGACTGGAGAGTGTAAGTCTTTATTCATTAATATTGATAGCTAAAAGTAAGTTACAATGAAGAGTAGGATACATTTTATCTTGTCAAACTATAATTTAGGTGCTGTCAGTTAATAGTAGTAATAAAAGCAGTAGTATTAAATTATTCTCATTCCGGTCCCTTCAGTTGATTTTTAAATTTAAAAGCAACACATACTTTCAGATACCATACACTATGGTATATGTTGCAAACTGATTGCCTTAAAGATGGTCCTTATATAATATAACTAGTGTCCATTCAATGGTTGAAATTCACCTATAATCTGACACGGATACTTCAAGATTCTGATTCATTTTGTTTATTCCTTTTCCTGTTTCATTTGTGATATGTCAGTATTGTTGTTGTTGTAGATAAGTATTGCATGAGGTGTAGAAGTACTTCTAAATTGCTACTTAAATGTACATATAATATTATACCCACCATGGATGTGTTCATTGTAATTACTTGAAATAATAAAATTTGAAAGTGGGGTTACATCATGAATGTTACAGTTATGTTGTAAACAAAATAGAGATAAAACAAAACTGTAATGGCGCATTTAAGTATGACTAAATCATATTTAAGGGCTCTTATATTACTGAGTTACAAAAGATGTGACTCTTTATCTTATCAAAATGATTGATTAATCAATACAAGTTATCTCAAAACAGCCCAGAGAACAGAAGTCCTTGAATTATTTCATAATTAAGTACAGAATCGTATTTATAGTTCATAGTAGAAGATTAATATAAAACCTTTCATTATATAATATGAATGGTCCTAGATATATAATTCATATTTAAAATTTTCACAACTAAAAATGAAATAAGAAATGTTTTTCAGTTGGTCAACCTATGTGGATTCCATTAATAGCAGGAGCAACAGCAAGGATCACTGCTGTCACATTAGTCAGTCCTTTAGAACTAATTAGAACAAAAATGCAATCAAAACACTTGACATATTCAGGTAAGGCAATGTAATTAATATTTTGGAGTGGGAGTAAAGAAAGTTGTTTTTGGATAAAAGTGTAATGTTACTGAGTGATACAGTAGTTTCTTTACCTTTATTAACCAAGTGTTTTCTAAATATCTATCTGAATAGATCTTTATTGGCTTGAGTATTTTATTTATTTAAGCAAAAGATTTTTCACACACGAACTCACTCATAAATATTACTGGTAATCATAAGTTTTTTATTTATTTATTGTATATATGAGTGAACAAGTTTACAATTCACCTGGTTTTATGTGGTCACTGGAGCGATGAGCAATCAGAATGCAGTTACTCATCCTGAGATACAAGTCAGTCACCTGCTGACACGGAACTCGAATTTGATTTCTAATAACAAATATCCAGCTTACTTTTACCACTATTAGTTAATTTTTATGGGTGGAAGAAGTGATTTTAGATTGAATCTCAATAATTAAATCTTATTATAAAGAGGATTGAGTAAGTTTTTTTTTGTAGTGCCTATAAAAGCTATGAAGAAAAACCGTTTTTTTTTTCAGAAATTACGTCGGCATTGCGGCAAGTCATAAAATATGAAGGCTATGGAGGACTTTTCCGAGGCTTAGGATCAACACTGTTAAGGGATGTCCCATTCTCAGGTATATATAGGTTTTTTTTGGGATCATGAATCATTTTTTTTTACTGCTAAATACTAAGCACCGCCTTTGTTCTTGCCTCTAGCATTGCTGATGTCCATAAGCGACGATTACCACATATATGAGGTGGGCCGTATGCGCGTCTGCCTAGAAGGACAATAAAAATAAAACGAAAATTACCAAATGTGAATAATGAGAGCTGGCTGTTTGGTACTTTACTAAGTAATAAAAGCTAACCTCATCTTGCATAAGCCATTTCTAATCCAATCAAGATCCGATTTTTTTAATATATTTTACTCATTTATTATTTTATATATTTTAGTACACGTTCATGATTTTGTTCTAGGAATATACTGGACTACTTTCGAATCGACGAAGAGAGCGTTCAATAAACCGGATTCAGAAAAAAATTCGTTCCTTTTTAATTTTTTCTGTGGTTCGGTAGCTGGCAGTGTGAGTATACCTTAATTTTCATAAAACGTTTATTCAATTCTTAAACGTTAATCAGTTTGCCCGAATTTATGCGAATTTTATTTTTCAGATCGCGGCCTTTGTAACCCTTCCTTTTGACGTAGTAAAAACACATCAACAAATAGAATTAGGGGAGAAAGAGATATATACAGGTTCGTTAAATTATATTTGCTAGTGTTTACACAAGGACCGAAATGATTCAGTAAAAATTTTGTTAATTTAAGAATTAAACATAAGAATTAAAATTTTGTGAATTAAAACTCAATGGCAATAATCCAGAAGGGAGAGTAGGTACTATTCTGTGTATATCGTATATTCTTTGCTTTGTATATATATTTTTTTACAGTACGAATTCTACGTTTTCATTGTTATTTACAGATGGTAAAATCCAACAGAGAGCTTCGAATATGACAGACATTGTCAGAAACATATACAAGAATCACGGTCTGAAAGGTTTGTTCACCGGTCTCATGCCTCGAATATTTAAAGTGGCGCCCGCTTGTGCAATCATGATCTCAACGTTCGAATACGGCAAGCAGTTCTTCCAGAAATACAATTCGCAAAAATATAAGGAGAAATTGCAAAGGTAAATTTTGACCCCAGTATTGCAGTGGTTCTGTTTAAAACTAATGCAAAAACTGTAGAGATATATTTTTTTTGTTAGCTATTTGTATTTTTGTTTGTGTGCTTTTTTAAATGTTTATTTTATTCCAGAAACGGAATTGAAGTTGAAATCATTAAATCTAATTAATTATGTAACTGGTTGGTTTTCCTAAGAAATAATAACATCTATATAATTTAAAAGAAACGGTTAGCATTTTTTTTTGTTGCTCAATTTAGGAAACCGATTTTTTTAAAAATCATTTCATAATATCCTCATTATTTGAAGAAAGTTTACAAAACAATAAAATTATTTTTCTTTTTTTTTTCTCAGGCACCAAGATATTGTTATAATGAGTCAATCAACAACCAGCAGTGGATACTCATGAAAAAAAAGTTTTGACTTTAAAATTTTACAAACAGAAGTAAAGTTTTACAATTGTTGTGATATTGAACTAGATCTAGTTCATCAATACAATGTTACCACGTTGTTATTTTTAAATTAGCTAAACATACAATCGCAAAGGGATGCTTTGTGCGATGGTCATCAGCATAGCTGACATCAGTTATACTATAGACATGTATTATTATTATTATTTTTTTCATTAATGTACAAATCTTATTGATCACGGTAAACTAAAAGTTGGTAAGGCGTGTTGTGAGCTCGCACTGGCACTGACAGACTATGGGTTCCTACTGGAAACACCAAGAAGGCCGTGTACTAGTATACACATTTACATTAACAAAAAAAAATAGACCGTGTGTTGAACGAGTGAAGGGTTCCGTAATTAAGATAAACGTTGACAGTCAATATTCAATGGCAATTTTCGGGGAAATTATAAATAATTATATCTATGTACATTCATACTTATTTTATCTTTCAATTAAAATGGAGTGTCATCGTTAATTACTCGTAATTTGTACAGAAATATGTTGTAGTACACAAAATACATGTAAATTCAAAACTACGCATGTAAATGGCCAATAATTTCAGAGCAAAATAGTTATGAGCTCAGGAGAGACTAACAAAAACAAAATGTTTATTCCTAAATGGAGCAAAAAAAATGCATAGGGATTTGTCGATGGAACCCTAAAATAGTAACAACAACACTAGCAATTCCTTTTTAATTCTAATTCCATTTACTTTTTTTAATTCAGTCTTTGTGACCTAATAAAGGATAATGTACTCAAAAGGGTAATGTTTTGAAATTCAACCCATAGGCAGGTACTACTTTTCCTTGTGAAATACTTAGTGGATACATTATGTTCACAAATTACTCCCACAATGTACTTTTTTTTTATTGCCCTTGTAGGCAGACGAGCATACGGCCCACCTGATGGTGAGTGGTTACCTACGCCCATGGACTTCAGCAGTGCCAGGGGCAGAGCCAAGCCGCTGCCCACCGCTTGTACTCGCAAAAATTCTAATTTGTAAATGCGAAGGACAAGTGTCATTAGAACTCAAAACAAGGCAAGGCATTCACGTTGCGTTTTCTAGGGTATAACTAAATAAATACGATTTGTATTTTAATATTATATAAATTCTTCTACTGTTCTTAATTAAATGTAAATTAATATTATTTTGACATACACCGTAATATGAAGTTCAGAACATCAAATCAAAACTTGACATTTTAAAACCTAAGAACTCGCACTGAATTTAGAAAAAAAAAGCTATATCTTCGTCCCGAGTGATTTGCGAGAAATCTTTACTGAGACGACAGTGTTGACAGTGAACAAAAAATTTTGTTTTTTTGTTTATTTTAAATTGTTGATTGCAAGTAAAACATCAACAAAACTGCCATTGTCTTATGTATATATATTGTTAATTTGTAAATACATGGAAATTGAAATGATTTTTTTACTGTTGGTAATTTTTTTCCTTTCCGGCAGAAAACTAAGCCTATTTTTTTGCCGATGGTCTTATTTCACTAATATTATTAAAATCCTTCAGCTTGGTTACAAAAGAAGTAATCCAGAAAATGCAAACGAGTAATAATATAATAAGGTGTTGGTCCTAAATTCAATTATCTTTATTTAGTATGGAATTCTTCTGATGCCACTGTTTTCAGTGTAGAGGTAAAATCCTCAATGTCATTGGATACTTGTGGGAACCGTTAGCTTATAAATAATCTATTGAGATTACAAATTGTCGATAGATTGCATAGACATTAAAATGTACAATTTAATGCTTACGCTTTCGTAGCCTAGTAAACTGACCAGTGTGCTTAGTGCGAGTTTTTTAACGTTCTCGATAGCGTAAAAGTTAATCCATCTTTGTATGCAGTTTGAACAACGCCCCTAGCGGCAAACGTAGGTAAACGATCCCATTCCATTACAAATATGAGCTAACTTTTACGCTATCGAGAACGTTAAAAAACTCGCACTATGCAAACAAGTGCAGCCGTCAAATTGTTGCGTATGACGAAAGGCAAAGTGCGGGCTGATTGGTTTAACGAATCACGTGTTTTTAACCGTTGCCCTTCCGCCCATAATATAAGCGTGAAAAAATCTATCCAAGATTATTTTCCACTGCTAGTACACTTCTACGTTCATCCAGATATTCTAATTCACTCATTGTCAGTAAATATTAAACTTTTTTTTAATATCTTTAAATTAAATAAAAACACCAGTTTATCTTGATAGTAACCCCTCGATTGTATACTTCAGCCGTTGACCTATAAGTGCATTCTGGGTCAATCTGAACCATAACGTTTTTTAAATCGTATGTCAGTACATATACTTTTTGGTTTTGTTAAAAATGGACCTAAATGTAAATTTATCTTTCACTCTCTTCGAGAAATTTAAAGATTTGGAAAGTACGTAACTCTTGACAATTTATTACTTATTTTCATGACTTTCACTAGTAGTAGTTGCATTCATCCAACAGGAAAGGCGAAAGTATCAAACCATTGATCTTAATTTTTGATATAAAATAATACGAAAATAATATAAAAAGGATAAGACCTCCGATGAATTCGTATCAAGCGATGAAACGGTTTTCGAATCCCGCAGGCGGGAACCAGTTTTTCTAATGAAATCGTACAAGGTCTGTGGGGTGGCATTTACATTGTAAATATCTATGGGTTCCGGTAACCACTTAAACCAGGTGAGCTCTGAGCTCGTCCACCCATCTATGCAATAAAAAAAATGAAGCGAAACGTAAAACCGATAAAATGAGGTGAAGTTGATTTACTTGAAGTTGAAATCAATTAAGATGTAATTAAATGAAACGAGATGAAATGGAATGAAATAAAACCTCCGTAAAATTGTGGATATTTACTGAGACTGCAGTGGACTTTTTGGAAAAAATCCGAAAATCCACGTTCAGTGACTTTGTTTCATTTTCTCACATTTGTGTACTTTTACAGATGCTAAACAATGAATAACCAGTGATTACACCTTTAAACCTGAATAATCACTACAATTTTTAATCACTACAGTTTAATTTCTTGATTTACAAATCAAGAAATTAAACAATTGACCCAACTTCGCTTCTCGCGTCGATCGCCAAAAGATAATTCCTTTAGTAGTTTTAATTTAGGCCCATCATGTTTAATATTTAATTGAACATAAAATATGTACTGTTTCAAAATTGTTCAAAATTAGAATCATTACCACTCTTAGATGGTACTCGAATTTTGGTAAAATAATGTACTGCTCGTATTTAATAAACTTGTGCAATATAATTAGGTAGGTAATATTGTAGTGTGTAGTGGAATAAGGTTCTTTCTAATTTTGTTTGTAGCACTATGGAACATTTTAATTTGGGAACTTTTTTGTTCAGTAAGTAGATAAACAAATAACAATTGAATTATAATTAAACATATATATTATGTAACAACAAACTGGTAAAAACAAGCATACATGTAATTTGACAAACTTTCAATAAATGACTAAATGAATGACCTCTGGCTATTCAGAATATGAGTAGTGTGCATAATTTTGACGTTTCCTAAAACAGACTGAAAGGAATATGTATCCGTTTTTATGGAATTTGTTCTCTTAATTATGTAATTAATGAGGCTTGCTTCTTTTTATTTAATCAATGGAATGTGATTTTTCCAATGAAATAATTACCGATGCTAAAACATTTTTTGTGACACGATTAAAATAAAAAATTCAAGCATCTTTTTCTTGTTTATTTGGCTTTGCCGATTAAAAGAAATGCTATTATGCTTATTCTAAAACGGTTATTTATATGCCAGTTACTAGAGCACAAACACATTAAAAAAATTGTGTTGGTAACAGGCTAACGGAGCTGATTGTGATGAGACCCATTAGCAAATGAGAAATAAGGTTCTTTTAGTACCTATGAATATTTTTGATTCCTGTGAATATATTATACAGGGATTTAATGTATTTGAACCTTCATGTGTATTTTGTGAAAGAGTAAAACATATAACCCTTAATTTGGTAGTTTACAATAGGCATCATAAGTAACTTCCTAAGGATTATGTTCAAAGAAATGAACATATATCCAGGGTGTTGTCTATTCTAACAGGTATTACAGGGCATGCTATCACAAATCCTATTCAGAGAATGGAAAACCCAAGCCAGGGCTAAGATTAATTTTTATGGGTGAAAATATGTATTCTGCTTTGCGAATTAGTAAATCAAGACAAGAGACGAATACAAAATATGATATTTATTTGCCCAAATGAAACACCGATTGATAACAAAACATTTATTAACTAGTTCTAATGTACCATTGGTCCAAGTGGTTCTGCCTTGATGTTTCCGAGGTCTAATCTGCTATCAATTGACTCGTCTATTTGCCCGACTATTGCCACATTGTCTCCTCTGATTATGTGAAGTCCAAGTACTACTTGAGCGACGCCACTTGTGGAGGAAAACACTCTTTCGTGAGATTCGTCTAAAATAATATTTATTGTTTGGTCAAAGCCCTTAAGGGTGCCAATAAAATTACGTCCATCCGAAGTTATTACCGACACTGTTTGATTCACGTAATTTTCGAGTCCAGAAGCCATTCTAATTATTTTATATATAAATTCAAATTAGTAATAATCAACATCAAACAACTAGGTAATTGATAGAAATTTTCAAATTTCAGGGAGCTGCCACAGATTATTATTTGAAATGTGTACCTACACAGATTAGTATAATAGCTACTACAATTACTATTACTACCTACATGATTACCGTACAATGGGGTAAATAGGGACAAAATCGACCTTCAGATTGAATTTTAAAATAGTTCCAATTAAATAGTCACTGCTCAACCAAAGAAATAAGTTGAGTCTTGAACGTACCTAGGTGATAAAAACCGTTACATTATTTTAATTATTCATTTTAAAGAAATAATCGGTAAAATAATGGCCGTCCCAATTTACCCAGCGTCCGGGGTAAATTGACACGGTTAAGGGTTAAATTGGGATATTTGTAAGGGTTGTCAACTCGCAGTACTGCGATATATAGGTAGGTGCCATATAATTATTTATATGGACCGAAATGATGAATACAATCCATAATTTAAGCACAATACACAACATAGTGTAAATTAAGCTGGTTTCTATTCCGAAGCGATGTGACGTGAATGATAATCAACAATACAATGATCAAAAAAAGTATGTGCATGTTATATTTTAGAAAATTATTATTTAATTTCCTTAAAAATCACAACTCTGAAACAAAATCATAAAATAGAATAAAAAATAGAAAACAAAAGGACTGGAAATGCATTAATACAATTTTATTTAATCAACATTTTCAAAATGATCTTTGAGCAAGAGTAAGATATCAGGTGAATAAGATAAAAAAACAGCTTTATCTGATTACTGTCAATAATAACAAAAATAAAAGAAATTTTTTCTAAGCTAAATAACTAAACTCAATTAATTCGCTCACTCATAATTGGATATCTCGGATTTTTAATTAATGTTACATTTAAAATCTGAGGCCTGTTTTTATTTGTGTGTGCGTTGTGAATGTTAAAAAAAATCATGATTCGACGCGTGAATAGATTCTGAAATAACAAAAGTTTTGATTCGTTTGAGTTCTTTTAACTTTTAATTTTTTTTATTGCTATAAAGAACATACGACCGGGCAGATATTACAAGGTAAATGTCGCGAAAAAAAGTAATTATATATATACTTTTCTTTTACCTATAATACTTACATAAACTAACTGATAAACACATTAACCTTCTTTACATCACGCAATTAAGTGATAGTATAGGCTAAAAAATCTATTATAAGATATCAGTGACAACCCTAACAAGCCATCCCTATTTTGTCTTTTGGCGTTCCAATTTTGTGTTTTCTCGTCCCTAATTTTTCCAGTCTCGTTCCAAATTACCCTACATACGTCCCAATTTTCCCCAAAAAGAAAGGAAAAAATATACATTTTTTATTTTGTCGAAATATTGTATTTAAAATAAGAATATTGCAACTTACCGTTTGTTGTGGTATTTCCAGATGTATTAAAAACTTATATAAACTGTGATCTTATTGAAAAAACAACGATAATATAACTTTTTTGAAAAGTTCTTTAAGCTGTTTTAAAACGCACTTTTCAACCACTATTTTAAATTTAATTTGACGAATTTTTGGGACCAACTTAATTCATGTTTAGTACTTCCATAGTTAGCTTGGTTTTTCTTCTATACATTGATAAATATTACCTTAAAGAAAATTAGGTAGATTCCGTGCTACAAGTACTTTGAGAATCTTCCGCAGGTTTGTCCCAATTTACCCCAGAATCCCAATTTACCCCATGTCATGGTACTACAAAATAAATAATAGTTTAAAAAAAAAAAAAAACTCGCTTTATCTAACATTCAACTAATCGGTAAAACTATCGGTCTTCGATAAATCTACAAAGTTTGAATGAATTCTGGCCGTTTAAAGTGGGTCAAAATCGCGTCTAAAGGAGTCAGTTGCAAACATACATACAAGTGAAGTTAATATAAAGCGTGTAAATTGGGTAGAAAAGATCTGACGGATCATACATTCACAAATTATTATGATACACCAGCAGTCAGGGAACCGGGGTAAATTACCTAAAATGAAATTTTGGGGCGTAAAAATGAAACTTTTGTGAGTAAAAAGTATATATTGAAGTGAAGCTTCTTTAGAATCGTTGTGATTTCAAATTCGATGAAACGAAATTAAACGAAACGAAAAATAAGTCCATAGAGACACAAACACATAAATATATAGGATTCAGCCGGCGAGAGATTGAGATAGAACACATTATTTGGAAACACAAAGTTCACGTGATTGACCCAGGTATTTTATTGTAGGCATCGTGTGAATTATAAAATAACAAGAAATTATCAATTACTTATATTCTCTGTGGGGGTGATTTTTTTTCCTCAACTGTATATTACAGATATTACTATTATTACCGTTATGTATTACTATGTATTACATTGATAAATTGAATAAATGATGCTTAAATAAAATTTTTAGTTATTATTTTCTTTTGAAAATTATCATCGGGGCTATAATATGAAAGATGCTAAAAAGAAGCGATTTCATATTTATTTTGTTCTTCGCCATGGGGTAATACCAACTTAAAAAAATATATTTTGGGGTAATAATTAAAAAAGTTCCCCGACCGCTGTGATACACTGTGCAACATATTACCGAGTAATGCTTCTCTACAATATTGTGAACAACAAGTCACAAGACACAAGCAATAACTTATTTTTCGCAATACTTACTATTAATAGTATAAATATATGGCAAGTGTCGAGTTACGACATTGATTATTACTAATATTTAGATGTTAGTCACCGTTTCAGCAGAGAAACTACATCGCTATTGTATTTATGTATTATTCGTATGTCAGTATTCAGAATTGATGTAGCACGCTTTCACAAAATAAAATGGTGTCGGGTTATAGGTTTAGTTTGAATATTCCCTATTTTTATTTTTTACCGGTAGTACTAATAGCAGAAGTATGAGACGTGCGCTAGCCATTGTAATTTAGATTCACACTGATCTCTGTTTTAGAATTAGTAGGAGTATCCATGCTATCTATAAGCTCCGGTAACCACTTATTATCAGGTGATCCCTGTGTTAGGATACCCATTTAGAGCTATTAAAAAGGACGTGTTTCTTTTCTTCTTGACATCATAGTTTATTTTTAGTTACAAACGTGAATGAATGGCCAGTTAATCGTTTAGATTTTGTGTAAGTGCACAAGTTTAAGAAAAAACGCCAGAATTGCAGGACATCATTTTATGCAAACAGTTCGGAACATTTATTTATAAATAAGCAGCGTCATGATTCTGTACCTCACAAATGGATGGATAGAATTCCTTTAAATTCTGATTATTTGAACAGACAATAAAATTTTCTACGTAATAAAAAGTTTTCTTAGCAGGCAGTAGGTACAAAATGGTTTCACACAGTTTGTAATATCTAGATCACCAGAGTTCTATCGCAAAGGCATAAATTACCTTCCTGTTAAATGACAGCAATGTATAGATAATAATAGTAGATATTTTGATTAAATAAATATGTTACATGAAAAAAAAACGAATTTCAATTTTTCAGTACAAATCGGCAATTTCATACTTTGACTTCAATTTTTTTTTCTAATAATAAAATTAGGCTGTATGATTTGGTACTTTCGCCTTTTTTGTTTAAAAATACTGCTATGTGGAGAGTTCACGAGAGATAGTGTAATATAAATGTCAAATAATGTCAATATTCAGGTCATACATATAGGTACCGGTAAAATGGGGCGATTAGGGATTGAGAGGCGAATCGGGAAAAAACCGGGAAAATCTTTCGACGCTCAATATAAGTTTTATATTCGTTGCAAAATCTTCCATTTTTTGTAGTTTAATAGTAGAATGTTGAAAGTTCACAAAACAACTCTGAATATGCATGATAATAGCTGCTAACTTATAAAAAATCGCGTTTCAAATTAACTTCCTGTGGTGGTAATTATTTTAGTGCTAGAAACTTTGCTCTCTTTTATTTATTTGATAATAATAGAAGACGACTATGATTTATAAACGTTATTTAGTGTTTGAACCAGCATATATATTAAAGGTAAGTCTCAGTTGTTATTGGTTTTAATGTATTTGATTAAATAAAAATACATGTAAAAATCTGTTGTTTTTGGGGATATTGGGGACGTCTTAGGTACAAATAACAACGAAAAAGGGGTCAATTGGGATAAGAATACGTGAAATGGAAACGACCTAAGTATAAATAGGTACAGGTTTGTAGGGTTGTCTATGTAGTTATAACAATATTTTTTAAATTTGTTGGTAAAAATCTGGTTTATTCATGATGTCTAGAACTTTTATTCAAAATTATCAATGTGTTATTTTATTGTTTGGTAAATATTTGTATTATCAGTTACGTATTGTTTTCTATTTTTAGATATGCCTCGCGTGTACGTATCAAAGAGTGCAAAGCCTTTTATGATCCTTTAATATTAAAAACAGCAATTAGCAGTATTTAAAGAAGCCTATGAAATTGGGAATAAGTCTTTAGTTGAAATAGATAAGTAATTTAATATAAGTAAGTCGATTTTTCACAGACATGTAACAAGAACAATGAAATCTCAAGGTGGACAAAAATGTCTAAGTAATACATAATAAAATATTTAATATTTGTTCAGAGTGGGGGTATTCATCTGATTAATCCATGGAATAACCGACACACCTAATCTCTTAACCCAGATAAAAATATCAGCCCCTAAGTACTTACCAAGAACGAATAAATATAAACCGTTTCTAAGAAAGCCCATTGTTGTTAATGCACTGTCGATTGCACCTATAATTGAGGTGACATCTGCCATGTACTTTTGTCAGTTTTTAAATTTTTTTTATTGATGATCACTTTGTTGTTGCAACTAAATAAATAAATTAATTAAAACCTAGTAGTACCAACCCTAGCAAATTTCTCATTTCGTCCCAATTAACCGCAATTTCTGGGTAAATAGGGATCACACCTATTTTTGCATTTTTTGCTTAAACTGGAATGCTAGTTGCATAGTTTTAAATTGGACAACAAAGATGCCCCCAAGACTCAATCATTTTGATCCTGATATAGCATTATATACATCAACAACTACCTTAAAATTGCTCATAAAGTTGGAATTTGTCCCTAATCGCCCCATTTTACGGTACTCTTTGATACATAGGTTGCAGATTCCGATTTCGGTGTGAATAAATTGTACAGTACCGTATATTAAAAATAATGTTTATGTTTTAAATGCATATATAATTATGCTTGATTTTTTTGTTCATATCTCAACACTTCAGAAAGCTATATTGGCATAAAATAAAATGTCGAACGTAACTGTGCAGTATATATTACTCCGTAGTGATTTATTAAAAGAATTTGGCTGGTCTATTGGGGCTCTTGTCGCTCAAGCATGCCACGCTTCTTCGGCAGTTATGCACATATATAAAGATGATGAACATATTATACAATATTTGAATGATTTAGATAATATGCACAAAGTTGTTTTAGAAGTAAGTTTTGATTTTAAAATAACGAAATCACAAAAGTTTCAAGTTAGAGCTTAAATTCAGCAAACGAATATAAAAGTAAGAGTATGGAAAAACTACACTAAATCATTGCACTTGCACTTGCATTGCACTGATTTTGTCATAAGTTTCGTTAAACATGAATAATACTTAGAATTGAGAATTAATAGTTATTGACTGAAGTTGAAGATGTATTTTTGTTATATTTTTTCAAATTTTAAAGTATAAATGGCTCTCCTGTAAAGTTGATAAAATGTCGCTTAAACTAAACCCCCCAATGTTTCTTCAAATAATATGCTACATTGTTTTCAAGTACATTAGTTATCTGAACATTGAGATATTTTTGTTTTGTCTGTTATCTCTGGTTTTGAGTTTAGTCATCGTAATTATATGCTTTTCCTGAATTTGTTTCCTGTCCAACTATACAACTTCTAAAAGTCAAGTTTTGGATTGTTAATTTTAAATTGCCTTTATTATTACTTGTCATTTGTGAATCTTAAAATTTAGGAATAATCTATTTTTAAGATTCTATTTTTTCTAAGATTTTGGTCAAGTGCTGTAGATACAGCCTAAATTCTCTTTGAATGAGAATGAGTCACCTATTGGCTCTGTGTTGATGTTATCGTTACTTTCTTGGTTTGTGATGCTGTTTAGAGTAACTTTATGAATACTCTCCTCCCTTAGATAATGCCTGATATGATTTTGAAGATGTAGGCAAAAATCAAACTATCCTGACTTCATCCCCTAATTTGGTTAATAAATGATAAAAGTTGTGGCTGCATTACAATCTGATTAGAAATGTAATTGTTTTCTACTTATGTTAAATAGTACTTATAGATGACGGAAATGGTAATGGATGGCATGCATCTGCTCTACTAATGTCCGTATATTAATGCAGTAACATGCCCTGTGTCACTCATAGCACTAATGATAATGGAGGAGCAGCTACACATGCACCCGTCTATATTTTTATAAAACTAATCATTTAAATTTCAGGTGCCAAATGAAGAGTCACTAAGAAAGGTAGCTGAAAAATTAAAAGAAAACTCAATATTGCACAAATTGTGGATTGAGCAGCCTGAAAACATCCCTACCTGTTTAGCTATAAAGCCTTATCCCAAGGATGAAGTAAAAAAATATGTTGGCAAATTTAAATTATATAAGGACACATTATTAAAATCCAGTTAATTTCACATGTCTTTAAATACATTGTAAGAGCAAGATTCATTGGTTATCGATTGATCTGATAGTTTTCAAATAAATCATCAACGTCCATCATTGTTATCTAATTAAATACACAGTAATGAATGAAGTAATAATAGATACACAGTGCGCATTTGTTTGTTCTACATTTAATATTACCTAATGACAAATAAAATTTTTCTTTTATTTTATGAAAACTAATTGGTCTCCCTCCATTTAAAAGTGGTAGTGTTCTTGCTTTTAGGCCATTATTTCCCGGCAGATGGAAAAGAGCCTTTTTCGGATGTTTAGATGCCTTAGAAAGGACTCGTTTGTTCTCATGGCAGTCCACGGTATTCGTAGCATCCTCTGCCACACCCACATTTCAAAGGTATCGATCTTTTTGATATCCCCGCTTTTCATGCACCATTTATCCGCCCCATAGAAGAATATGGGAAAGATCATTGCCCGCACCAAGCGCACTTTGGTTTTATATCGAAGGCTACGATTTTTCCAGATCTTCTCGAGATTGGCCATCGCACTTTTAGCCATACCGGATCTTCGGCGTATCTCTCCCGTGCAGCACCCTCGGATGTTATTTGCGACCCAAGATATATGAAATCCGCTACTTTCTCGTAGCCGCTGAGTGCATCAGAACGTGGAAGAAGTTGCGCTCTATCTATTATCATTATTTTGGTCTTAGAATGGTTGATTTTAAGACCGAGTTTAGTACTTTCTTCTTCTACACGGTTCAGCAGAATTGCCATTCCCTCTTCATCTGATGCAAGCATGGTAGTATCGTCAGCGTATCTCAGGTTCGTGAGTGTTTCACCGCCCACGGAAATACCGCCGTTCCAGCCTTCAAGTGCTTTTTCTCACTAAATATTCGCCGTAGAGGTCAAATAATTTGGGTGACAGAATGCAGCCCTGACGCACTCCACGTTCTGTATAGAAGGATCTAGATCTTCGATTATCCAGTTTCACGAAGCAAGAGTCATCAAGGTACAGATTCTGTATCAGTAATGTGAGATGAGAAGGAACGCCCATATCAATTAACACATCAAACATGTTACTCCACTGAACAACGATCCCATTCCATACAAATATGAGCTAACTTTTACGCTATCGAGTACGTTAAAAAACTCGCAGTAAGCACACTGAGTTCTGTTTCAAAAGACGCTTGAACAATAAGCGGCAGAGAGTTTATTTAATGTTTTTAGATCAGGGCTATACTGATGGAGGCCTATGTTCCGCAGTGGACGTTTGTAGGCTGATGATGATAATGATGGTCACCCGGGCTGTCCGCCACTGTCCGGGCTAGACATATCTAAGAGCTAAATTATAAACTAAAAGTTAAAAAAAAAACTGTACATTTTCATAGATCATTTATTGTTTTCTTTTATCGATACCTAATCAAAATTTCATAACAGTATGTTTTACGAGTGTATTTTTTTATTTATTGCTGCGCGTTGTTTATAATTGCCGTACATATATATAATATACGAGCCAACTGCATTGATGTATTAAAAAACCCAAGATACACACTCAGCGTCTCAAAACCGTCCCCATAAAATGAGCGCACAATTTAATTTAATTGTGCGCTCATTTCAAACAGTCTCGCGTCGCTCGCGTCTCTGTGCGCTCGTTAAAAATGCCGAAGTGTTCGTTGAGAAATTATAAAAAGATAACATCAAGAACGTTAAAAATGGATGGGATATCGTATATTCGATAAGTAAAAGAGTTTGTTTATTTGTTTTTGTTGTTTTTATGACTAAATATAGGAAGCAATATGTGATTTTGATTTAATTTGTCTAAAAACTTCACTCAACGGTCCAAGTCTAGTACGGCAAATTTCAATGGCCGTATTTTCAGTGTAAGAACTACTATTATAAAGCCTTTTATTTTAGTCGCATAATCCAAACGACCCTGTTCCATAGAGTTACTATTCTAACTGGAGTGCTTACTTCGTTTGACATAAAAACTAAAAATATACTTTATCTCTATGGCTTAAAGTTTATTTTTAAATAGCAAAAGATGTAAGGAAAAACGGTCTGAAAAGAGAATGATTATTAAGTGGTGGTGTCCCTCTCGCACATTTTACAAACAAAAAGCAGTGTTGCTAGCTTAGNCAAGCACGTGTTTTGTATTTACATAGGGTTACACAGAATTACTTAAGGTAAATTCAAAACTGATGCATGTGTATAATTTTATCCTATAAATAAATTTTATATGGTCACCACATTAGACAAGGACACCGCGACCAAAAAGTATTCTCTTTCGAGACCGATTTCTCGGCATCAGACAGCACTCCAGTTGTAGGTACTTATTAACTCCATGCCCTGTTCTTATTCAATGGAGTCGTTTTTTTTATTGTGTTTAACTTTTTAATTTATAAGTTTATCAACTTTGAACTTTTTTGTATTTAGTTTTGAACAAGTATTTATTTGTTAGAAAATATATTATAATAATAATATAGGTCTTAATCGAATTGCAGAAGGAAAAGGGTCGTCCATACGACGTTATTTTTAAAGTTCGTAAATATTATATTATTATATCGATTACTTAGGGCATACTGAAGTCTGTCGTACAAGTTCAATGTTTTATTTAGAAAATAATAAGGAATTCAAATCTCCTACCACTTCCCTGAGTATAGGCTCAATTTTGGATACACCTCGAAAAGTTCACATAAAAAGTGAACTCCACAAATGCCGCAGAAGGCTAATTAGCAAGGATAAGGTCATTAACAACTTAAGGAAGAAAAAATCTAGACTTATTAATTAAAAATACCATTTCATGTCATGACTCATGACTCATGACGGAACGTATGCAAGTTTTGTAGTGTCACCTTGTGAAGGGATAATTTAGTACGGTTGCAGATCATGGGGTAGAGTTGACCGAGTAGCAAGGCGGCTGGGTCGCGTACTGAATGAATGTGGAGCCCAAATGTCATCCCTCTATCGAGGATGACGCCGGGGCACTTGGCCTTTGAAGCCCAAGGTATGGCCTGGCCAAAGATTTTAATGGCAGGAATGGAGTTACTGCGCCTAAGTAATTCATGACGAGATACTAGCAGTGGCGTCGGGACGGAGACCCTTTTTGAAGAAGTGCTTTTCATTGTTGATGTCGATATCAAGATCTACGATCACCTTTTTATTGTTTTAGTTGATGTGTAGACGAACGAGTTCAAAATCCATAAAAATGGAAAGATCCCTCCATTGAGAAATCATGGAAATGCCGTGCCTTCAGATTTTATGTTCGATTTTGCAGATAGGTACAAACACCTAAAACATGGCCACAAACGTCTTCTGCGATAGAGGAATCGTGGAACTCATATCATAAAAACGCGTCTCACAAAAATTTAAAATCTTTTTTTTTTTCTCCTCCCTAAGCTGATAGCCTTGAGAGGCTGTTTCAGCGTAACCTTAACTAGTAGGTGAGCTCACGGAGCTCAAACCTGACGACGTTGCTAACACGAACCCTATGAAGAGCCGTGCTTCGCAGAATCTACCACCGGATCGGAAACGCGACCCACTGAGAAGATCCGGCGAGAAACTTAGTGGGCTGTGTCTGTGGGTTAATTTACTCGTCGAGCCCTTCGTCACAAGCGACGGGTTCGACGAGAACGATGATCGGTAAAATTTACGTCATTGGCTATTGGTGTAGTATTGTGGGCATTGTGGGCTTGTACGGGTAGCTATCACGATTCACACTTATTTCTGCCGCAAAGCATTGAAACGTTCCGACTTAAAAGGTGGACAATCATCTTAAATGCTATTTGTTCTCAAATCTCGAAGAGGACAGCTATTTTGATGTAGCGCTGTCTATGGTCTCTGAGTTTCACTTAATATCAGGTAGGATGTGTGCTTATTTGAAAATTCAGAGCACTAAAAATCTTGTAAAATTTGGATTCAGATTATATAGAGTGAGTTGCAGTGAAACATGAGATATAAATCTAGTGAATACAAAGCTATAATTAAATACTAATATATATAATATCTTCTACTTAGTCTGGCCATAAATACTGATAAAATTAAAAATAAACAAAATATTTCATTTGAATTTGGAGTCTGTCATTTTTATATGATTGCTCATTGAGTTTTCTCATTTTGGCGCCAATACATTGTACAATATTTTGCGATATTAAAATGGAGTGGGGTGATAAAGAGAGCCATGTCGCGTATTTTAAAAGATGACTTAGGACTTGCAGCCTATACGAGACATACTGGTCATTTCTTAACTGATAATTTAAAAGAGAATAGGGTGGTAAAATCGAAACAATTACTGAAGCGGTACGCAGAGGTCAGAAAAATTTTGTTTACGGATGAGAATTTTTTTACAATTGAGCTACATTTTAACAAACAAAATGACAGTATTTATGCTCAAAGATCTAAGGAAGCTTCCCAATTAGTCGACAGAGTGCAACTTGGGCACTATCCGACTTCAGTGATGGTTTGGTGGGGTATTAGCTATGAAGGAGTGACTGGGCCATACTTTTGTGAAAAAGGTATCAAAACATCGGCACAAGTGTATCAAGATCCTTGTGAAGGTAGTGAAGCCCCTTAACAACACCATGTTCAATAATCAAGAATGGTCCTTCCAGCAAGACTCGGCGCCAGGTCATAAAGCTCGGTCTACGCAGTCTTGAGGGGAAACGAACGTTTCGGACTTCATCAGAGTTGAAGACTGGCCGTCGTCTAGTCCCGATCTTAATCCGCTGGATTATGCTTTATGGTCAGTTTTAGAGAGTACAGCTTGCTCTAAACGCCATGATAATTTGGAGTCCCTAAAACAATCCGTACGATTGACAGTGAAAATTTTTCCCATGGAAAGAGTGCGTGCTTCTATTGACAACTGGCCTCAACGTTTAAAGTACTGTATTGCAGCCAATGGAGACCACTTCGAATAAGCTTTTTATACTTTAAATTGTTTTATATTTATGTATTAAACTAACACACTGTAAAAGTAATAAATGTTATTTGCAATAGTTTTTTTTAATTTTTTATTGTAACAGTATTTATGGCCAGACTAAGTATATATAAAAATGAATTGCTGTTCGTTAGTCTCGCTAAAAGTCGAGAATGGCTGAACCGATTTTGCTAATTTTGGTCTTGAATTATTCGTGGAGGTCCAGAGAAGGTTTGAATTATTATAATATAGGAATTATATAAAAACAAATA